CTGGTGCGAGGGGATGCTCAAGGCTGAAGGACCCAAAAGGGGGATGAGCGGCGAGGGGGGAAGGGACAATGCCGTGAAATAAGGATTAATGGTGTACACGATTATTTGTGCCGGGTGACTGAGAGACAGACGGTCGTTCGGTCGGTCGGTCGGTCGAACAAACATATTAAAAAATACAATACGAAAACTGTCGCGAGGGCGGCAACAGGATGAGTTCGGCGGCAAGGATATTCATGGGGTGGCGTAGGTCGAATTTAATAAAACGCTCCTTCTCAAGTGTTTATCCTGCGGATGCGGATCTGGATGCGAGTGCGGGGATGTACTGGTTGCGATTTCGCCACGCTTCTGGTTGGCTGGCCGAGTTCACTTGCCATCCTGTCGGCTTTTCCTTCAGCCGAGGGCTGCTCACTGTTGACTGCTTAGTGCCTCCTGACAATTGTTTTCCCCGGCCGAGGCTTTCCCTTTCTCCCCCTCGAATGATGAAGAATTTATTTGAAAATTAAGAAGACAAATTATTTAATTTCGACTTTATGAGCTTTTTCGCCGCCCCCGTTCGAGTGCTTTAATTTCAAATGCGAAAAGGGACGCCGGCGTTTTCCGCGGAAAAGGGTTCGCAGGCGGCCATTTTGAGCGCGGAAAAAGGCGCTTTGCATTTTATGCCCGACGCGGTAATAAACACGCAGCCAGGACTTAGAATCTAAAACGGGCATGGAAAGGGGGCATCGGACTTGGCACGAGCACGCCACAAACTTAATTTCATTTAGTTTTATGTACATTTCATTAAGCAAAAAATGCCCAGGCATCGCGACGGCGACCAACATTGAAGTGTCCGGACTTCGGACTAGGTCCTGCATATAAACCCGACTACGGAGCTATATAGCTACAGCTATAGCTATAGCTTTAGCGATGGCGATGGCGATGGCGACTTGGGGACAATCAAGATAAATAGCAAACGGAATTTTTATTGCCGAAAGGATACGACGAAGGGCGAAACAAAAGGCAGCCCAAAGAGTTGAAAGTGTTGACGTGACTGCTGTGTTGTCCTGTCCTGCGGCCTTTGTCCTCGATGTGTGCAGCCAGGATACTCGCAGTCTAACACAGTCTCACACACACACACACACACACACACCACACATTCGGGCCACGGAAAATTGTCAGAATGTTTTGTATTTTCCAAATTTATTGCCGGTGGCCGCATTTTGTTGTCGCTGCGACCATAGATTATCTCATCGTTTAGGAGGGCCTAATATGCGCCGGAGGCAGTCGCAATATGATTTATCGCCGACCTACCGATATATGATCGTTCCGGGTTTGTTTACCTATCCCTTCGCCTTTGTTTTATCCTTCCACCTTGACGCTTTCAGCAGCTCCAGCTCCAGCTGCGAGCCGAACATTTTTAATTACGCTTTTTACAAGAAAATTAAATGGCAACATGTCATCACTAATTAAATTGTTCTTCTCTTCGGTTTCCCAGTTCTTCATGGTTATCCTGCGAGTGTGTGTGCCCGAGTGTGGAAACCAAGAAAGGAGGTGGGGCGCCAAAGGGTTGTGCTAGATGAATGCGTTGATAATGCCAGGGAAATACATTTATCAAACGGGACGATAGTGCGGCCTGGGGCACGGGTTATTGTGTTGTCGTCGGGCCGAATACTTAAACTATATCTGTCACTGGTTGTTAGCGATCGGTCATTTCAATTAACAAAATTATCCTTCCTATAAATGTAATCAAATACCATTGAATTTTATGGTCGAAACTTTATATCCTTCGTGAAAGGCAAGATAAAGGGAAATTTATATCCATGGTGAGTGGTCAAGTAATTAATTTTAATTAAATAAAATTATACTTATTAAAAAAAAGATAAGGGGATACATAAACGAAGGTAAGAGACTCGTTCGGAAAAACGTTTTAAGGGTTTGATAATAACCGCCATTATTTGGATACTTTTAACAATGACAATGATTTTACTTACTGTAGTCAATCTTCCATATCTCAATGTTTTTACGAGTCGATATACAAGTTTTATTCGCAAAAAATGTATTAATTTTGTGCTGACAGGTAATTCGAGTCAAAAAGTTCGATTGCAACTACATAGTAACAATTTTAGTTAGATATAGGTAAAAAAAACATGTTATTTAATTAAAGTAGGTTTTAAACGCTGTTTCAGACATTTCTTAATCAAGGAGACCAACAACCATTATTTTCTTTTGATAGTCATACAGTTCTCTTGTTATTACCACCTTAAAAAAGCTGAAATAAATAATTTCTTGCAGAAGGTGAAGTAACGTAGAGCAAAATCGAATTTGGCGGGCTAAAAACGTTTTCCAACTCTACTTTCATCCAGCACCATTTGCAGCACAGACTATTCATCGAACTGGTTCGATAGACTTTTCATTGACCGATATGTTTCAAGCCAGGTTATCGACCATGGTTTCGACATTTGTTAATGTTTTAGTTTAGTTTGTAACTACACTTAAATAATGCATTAATATCTGAGTTTCACTCTTTTTCCCCCTTAAGCAACAATTTAATGACATAACTTTTTCTATATTAATCTGCCGATTGCTCACCATGTCAACAAGTAAAGATTTATAAGATTATTTATTATAAGAAAAACAATGACCTAAACCGTGGTGGAAAAACAGGGCGACCAAGGGCACCCACCCCGTCCATGGAAAAACAGCGATCAGAATATCGATATATCGAACAATTTCAAAACATCGATACTATCGTATGTAAATCCGATTTTTGCAGCTGCAGTTTCATATACTGGTAACACTGCTTTGCGTTTGCCATACGAAATTACTCAAGTAAAGGTTAGTAAAAAATAATTTAAAAAGTGGGTTGTACCTTCGAGTTTTAGCTGTCTCTGAGGGAGTTAACAAAGCCTTCTGAGTTGTAAGTAGGTTTTCGAAATTGTAGCCTAAAAATTTTCCACGATGTTCAGGAAAAAACTGATTAGTTTTCGTGTGTATAAGTGTGCGTGAACGTCCTCGTTTCTTCACGGCGAAAAAGTCAAGCTGTGAAATCAATAAAAGTGCGAAACCCCAAAAGACGCCTTCGTGACTCGTCCGTGGTGTTGGTTTTCAAGAACACAACGGGAAAATTAAACGACGAAAAACTTGAACCAGATGATTCACTCTGAAAAAAAACACAAAGAAAGTTTTGTCAGCTTGGGTGTGTGTGTAGGTACACATATTTATGCCACAAAATGGCGGCGGCACGTCGGAAAATCTCAAATGCTGTTGACGTTGCGGCTGTTCGAGTTATCTGCAGTGCCCCACCCCCTCTTCTTCTCGGAAAACAGCCCACCCCTGGAGATGGAGTTTTTTATTCCAACTTCACAGCTTCAGTTTTGGCATGAGCCTTCCAGTTCCTCTCTAATCTCACACACTTATCCGGATGTGTGGGTGCACTTTGTTCGCCTTGCTTTCGTCACTATTTGGAAAATATGATAGACTCTTCATAGTTTTATGGGTTTTTCGAGTTATTTGCTCTTGAAGCCCCCTAAAAAATAGGTGTTTTACAGTGTGGGTGTGCCACTTGGGCAGTTAAATATGCAGACAGCGATAAACACTTGTACACAAGAGCCGAACGCTCGAATTGAGGTCAAAATCATCCACAACTGGGTCTGAGCGGAAAAGGGGGGTGTTTCCTCGGGTCGGGGTCGACGCCTCAGTGCAACAGAGGGTGGGTTTTCGCATTGGGGGTGTTTAGCAATAGAAGACGACAATATACTGCAGGCTAAAAAATATGTATGTACCCGTAGAAAGACAAAGACGCATTGCAGGGTTGTTAAATGGAGAAAGATACCCCTACCTCGTTTCATATTGCCAATCAATTAAGCTAAGCAAATTGAGCGTAATAGAAAAGTGACTCAGCTAATCAGCTTTTCCATCCCCATTGTTGGCTGTGCGCCTCTGACTATTTCCCGGGGTCAAGAGACTTTAATTCCATGGCGCAGAAGACCAGCATCGCGTGCGAGCGAGATGGCTTACTTTCTGGAAAGCGCGAGAGAGAGATCCCCAAAGCTGAGGCCATAAACCCCCCAACACAAAGAAAGGACACTGACACACACAGACACAGCTTCTAGTTCTTTTCGGTATGTGTGTGTGGGTGTGTGTTTGTGGGGAGAGAGCATGCCAAACAAAGAAAGCGGGAACAAAGAACTGCTGGCCATAACAAATGAGTCAATCGAGCGAAAGTAACTTGGCAAAAAAAAAAAAAAAAAATAAGCTTAGCAACTGCTAAAAGCTAGTTAGCATTGATTAAACCTGTGATTAATTAGAATCTTCCCAGCTGGCAATGCCCCAAGCACACACACACTTACGTATGTAAGTAAGTGGGGAGAATGCGGCAATTGGCGGGAGAGAGTGGAAGTGGAATAAACTTGAAGGTGCTCATCGAGGTTATTTCCATTAAATGCATATTTTCCAGTTTGCCTGCCAGGTGCTGTTGTTGTTATTTCGCAGTGAAATCGAGTGTAAACAATAACAATCGCCTCGAGATCGTAATTTACGGCCGTTGAAATAATCTCCGCCTTGCCCACATCAGTTTTCTTTTGTGTTTTTGTCACAATTGAACGTAATATATAGTTGACTCGTCTGGTCCAAGATTTTTTTTTCGTCTACTCCCTGTATATTTTAGTCTTTTCTATTCTCATCCTTTTTTGTATTAACTTGTAACGGTTTTCGGATTCTCTGTTTTCCCACCGATTTCTCTGCAGGATTCCCCGAAACGCAAGGCAATTACCCAGTGTGACGTAACGTAACGGAGAGACCAATCCCAGGTGTTACCACGCAGGACTTCTAACTTGAAAGGAGCAAGCTAATACATTCGGACTCCAGGAATCCACTGCAGGAAGGATCGAAACCGACAGGATATCCAAAAATCCCAAACCACTTGTCTCTGTGTGCGTACGCGTGTGTGTGTTTGATTTGTGTGCGTTTCGTTGAAGTGTCCCAGGAAAGGATCACCAGAACTAGGATCATCCAAGCCGTGATATCCAGTTCGAATCCCCAAGCGAAGGGGAAACCAAGTCAAGACGCCTAAAGGACAACACTCCGTGCACCCCGCGCACGCATCCATTTCGCCCCCGAATCGATACAGAAAAGCATCCACCATTCCTCTATCAACGTACGACGCCGCTCCCCTTTTGCACTCTTACGACGACAGTCCGCAGCGTTGGGACCTAACCAACGGGCACCAGGCAGGCGTCATCATAGATCAGTTCCGGGGCGGTAAAGCGATCACCATTGAGGGAGGCACCAGCACCGGTGATACGACGAGCATCGGCGGCGGCAGCGATTTACGACTGGTAATAACGGCCAACCCCAGTGAGATCGAGCGCAATTACGATCAGCCAACCAATCGCGGTGGTGGCGGAGGCGGCGGCGTTATCGGCGTCAGCTGCGGTGGCCAAACCCCACCGACACCCACGGTCGTCGGCAAAACCCTGCTGAACACCAGTCCCAATCTCTTGCCGATCACGACTGCGACCGATACGTTCAACAACCTCAAGAATCTGGTGAAGATCGACAAGGGCTCGTCGCCATCGTCGGGATCGAATCAGCAAGGAGGCGGCAACTATCGCAAGGGCGGCTCGAACGGTTCGGGTTACAAGAGCGGCGGAGGCGGCAGCGGCAACGGAGGATCTCCGGCCATTAGCGGCAACCCCGATAGGAACGGCAGCCGATCATCTGGCGGACCGACCGGACACTTTTCCACTGGCTATAGCAAGAATTCCGCCAAAATTCGCCAACACGATAGTGAGGTGAGCCCAAGACCTCGACGATCTTACCAGGGTGACTCGTCGTCGTCGCGTTACTATCCGAAAAATAGTGACATTTTGGGTCAAGGCTTAAGCGGCAACTCCGACAACAGCTACAACGGCGGCTCCTCGTCCGGCAGATACCAGCAGGACCAGCAGCAGGGCGGAGCTCATCGTGGTAGTCGCAACAACTATCACTCCAACTCCGATGGCAATTACAATCGATCTTTGAACTCCAACTCCGCCGTAGGGGGAGGAGGATCGGGATCCGGCGGTGGCAGCAATTACCGCGCCACTCGCAACTACGAGAACGGAAATGGGAGCAACGGCCCACAGCCACGTTACGGCAGCGGCAACGGGAACGGCAACAGCAACTCGAACTCAACAAGCGGCTACAACGGATCAGCAGCGAGCTCCGCAGTCAACAGCAGCAAGTCCTCGTACGGGCCTTCGCGCGGTGCCAACGATGGAGGCGTGAGTGGCGGCTACGGCAGCAGCAGCAGCAACAACTATCGCGACAGTTACGAGGACTCGCCGTCGCACCAGCGGTACACGAACAACGGCAGCCTAGAACGAAACGGAGGCGGAGGATCGGGGGCAGGAGGAGCGAGCGGAGGAGCTCGCAGCTACGGCAGGTCGGAGGCGGATCGCTACGGAGCACCGGCCAGTCGCACGCCCACCCTTCGCAACGGCAATGCGTCCGCTCAGAATTCGGGCGGCTCCACTTCCAACTCTTCGAACATTTCTCTGAACTCAGCAGGAGCGGCAGCAGCAGCTCCGCATTCCCAACAGCAGCAGCAGCAGCATCAGCAGCAGGAGCGATCCCAGGCGGGCAAGGCAAGCACTCCGCCACCGATCACCGGACGCTGGATACCACCTTCGCTGCGTCCGCAGCATGGACTTACCCAAAGCGAGAAGAACGACGCCGTCTTCCGGCGCGTAAGGGGTATTCTCAACAAGCTAACGCCCGAGAAGTTCCAGGAGCTGAGCGATGAACTGCTGAAACTGGACCTCAATTCGATTGTTATTCTGAACGGCGTGATTTTGCTGATTTTCGACAAGGCCTTGGACGAGCCAAAGTACTCGTCTATGTACGCACAGCTCTGCAAGCGACTTTCCGAGGAAGCCCCGTCATTCGACAAGGAACCAAACAACTCGTGCACTTTCTTGCGCCTTCTGATCGCCGTTTGCCGCGACAAGTTCAACAACCGTTTGAAGCGTGACGAGAACGACAACCGTCCGCCGCCCGAAAATGAGGCCGACGAGGAGGAGCGCCGCCATTTGGCCAAACAGCGCATGCTCGGCAACGTCAAGTTCATCGGAGAGCTCAACAAGCTCGACATGCTGTCGAAGACCGTGCTGCATCAGTGCATCATGGAGCTATTGGACAAGAAGAAGAAGCGTACGGCCGGTGCGCAGGAAATGTGCGAGGACATGGAATGCCTGGCTCAGCTGCTCAAGACTTGCGGCAAGAATCTGGATTCAGAACAGGGCAAAGAGCTGATGAACCAGTACTTCGAGACGCTTGAACGTCGGTCAAAGTCATCTGAATATCCACCGAGGATACGCTTCATGCTAAAGGACGTCATCGAACTGCGCCAGAACCATTGGGTGCCGCGCAAGCTGGGCACCACGGAGGGTCCCGTCCCCATAAAGCAAATACGCTCGGACGACGACTCGATCATCCGCACCCCGTTCCCCAATCGCAACCGCGATATGCGCAACGATCGCGACTCGGACAGCTGGATGAATCGGTTCCATTTGAATATCCAGCCTGGCGGCTACAATGACATGTTTAGCGGACTGAGTGTCACGGGAGCTTCTCCGATTGTCTCACCGTAAGTATTTCAATGCCGTGGGATATTTTTAGTTAAATAGGTGGGGTGTGGTGGCGGTTATTGTCTTACAGAAGTAACAAATCTAGTATCATCAAAAGGAAAACCATTGCTCAGTAAGGGTGAATAAAACAATTGTTAAAAATTAATATTTAATTTGCGTGTTGCAGATTCGCTACCAGCAATCGGGATAGAGATCGCGAAAATCGCCAGTACAACAATCGCGGCGATCGCAACCGGGATCGTGACCAAGGCGGCAGTGGCGGAGCCAACTATGGCAGTCGCTACAAGCACAACCAGAACGGTGGAGGCAGCGGAGGAGGAGGTTCCTCGAACAACCGGGACCGCGACGATTCGCGCAGGAACAACGATCGCGACAGGGATCGCAACGATGGACAGTATGGGGGTAACCAGCTGCTGGGTAGTAAGGAGTTGGCACCGCGGTTCAAGCGCAATTTGATCACCACGAACCAAGATGCGGTGGAGAACTTGCAGATGCGCCCGGCAGCCAACTCCTTGCTTTTCCGAGCGGCCTCCCAGAATCAGAAGTTCCCGGCCACTCTACCGATGTCCACGCCGCCCAACAGCAGCAGCAACAACAACCAAGGCAGTTCGCAGGGCAAGGATCAGGGTCAGCTATCCAATTCGCATTATCCTCTCCTGGGCACACCCACTTCCCATTTAATTAATCCAACGCGTCCATCGTCGACACCATCTGCTGAGTACGCTGACAACCGAACTCTGCTGGGAGTGCAAAACGAGAGGGGTCTCAAGGCCACCTCATCGTCGCCAAACTTTGGATCGGCAACAGATAAGCTGGGAGAGCAGCTGGACAGCCAGGGAGGCAGGAAGGGCTCCCACGACGGCAAGGATCAGGCCAAGAATGGCTCCGTCGAGAGACCAAGCACCCCAGTCGGCGCTACTGGCTCGGCCAAGCAGAAGAAGGACAAGGGTCCCAACAAGGAGGAGTTGTCCAAGAAGGCTAGCCAGTATTTCAAGGAGAAATTCTATTACGATGAGGAGGAAGAGACAAAGGAAGACGTCGAGGAGAAGAAGGATGATGCAGAGGCCAAGGCAGAAACAGAAGATGCTCCAGCAGAAGATTCGAAGGTTGAGGAAGATACCACCACACCTGCGGCCACTCCAGATCGCTTCGCCGAGCTTGTGGACGGATTCCTAGAGCTGAAGCTGCCCGAGAAGTCGCTGAAGGATGTGTGCCTCAATCTTCTGATGGATGTGCTGGACCGTGTAAATGATGTCTATCTGGAGCGCGTTGTGCGTCTTCTGCAGACACTGCGCAAACAGTCTAATATTAAGTCCAACATCGTGGTCGAGGTCTTCAAGCAGCTGGTCAACAAGATGAACGAGCGGGAGGCTCTCAATCCCCGGATTGCGAGCCTCGTGGCCAGTGTTTTGGCCAAGACCGTTTGTTGTGAGCCGGCTCTGTTGAAGCTGAACGACATCGCCAACTACACAGACAACGGACAGCACTATCCGCTTTTCCTGCTTGTGCTGCAGCAGTTGGTCAAGGTCATCGGCAAGGATGCGCTGGAGGAGAAGTTCCGTGCGAGCAAGGTGGATCTGATTAACAGCCTGCCGGAGGCGGATCGCACCAAAGAGCGATTGGCCGAGATTCTCGAGGATCGCCAGCTTTCCTTCCTGTATCCTTTGCTGAAGGTGCAGGCCGAGATGCTGAAGCAGCTGCAGAGTGACCCGAACCCAAACAACTTCTACAAGTGGATCAAGGCCAACGTGGACAACAAATACTACAAGGACCCGGGCTTCATTCAAGCCCTCATGACCGTGGTGGTCAAGTACGTGACCAAGGAGACGACGCTGGCGGCCAATCTGGACCCCAAGGAGCACCCGGAAAAGTCGGTGACCCAGAAGGAGCAGCAGTTGCTGGAGAACTACAGTCAGATGCTGCAAACTTTCCTGGGACAAAACGAGCTGCAGTTGATGGCGCTATACGCTCTGCAGACATTCTGCTACAATGAGAACTTCCCCAAGGGTAAGAACTAATCTTTTTGCATCCAATCTATTTAAGGGTACTCATATTTTTTTCTTGTATTAGGCATGCTGTGCCGTTGGTTCAAATATCTTTACGAATCTGAAATTATTGAGGAGGAGGCATTCGTCTTGTGGAAGGAGGAGATTTCCGACAAATATCCAGGCAAAGGATCCGCTTTGTTCCAAGTTAACGCCTGGTTGACTTGGCTGCAGGAGGCCGAATCTGAGGACGATGAGGATTAGGACGCACCAGTCCCGCATAACAACGCTATATGTTTATCACTTCCAATATTTATTCACAAATCTATATTGATTACATGATGAAAAAGAACAAAACTAACAAAAAAAAAAAAAAATCAAACAAAAAAATCGCAATCAGAAATAATAAGAAAGAAAGTAGCAGCAGGATGGAAGTTTCAAATCGCGGTTGCAAATCTTAGTCAAATTATAGTAGAAAAACACACATAAAAACAAATTAATCAAAATTATTTGATATCCAAAAAATTCAAAGAACTTTAACAACCATTTAACAATAAATAAAACCCAATAGATGCAAACATAAAAGATATTTAATCCATACAACATAACCGCAAGCAAACTTAGCAAACTGACATTGACATTTCAAACATAAAAACGTAACTATTAATTAGTGAATTTCATCTACTTATTTTTTTCTTTACATATAAAAACCGGAACTGATCTTTAAATCGAATATAAATGATTTCAATTGTCTGCCCATATTTGGTACTCTCGCCGATTTCCCGATTGTGTATTTAATTAAGTAGGTCAAAACAAATCGACAACGTAAATATTACATATAAACAACCAATCGACGCGCGCTAAAGGGAGCGAAAACAAAATCTGAATGTAATTTGTGAACAAAATATCGTATATATGTATTTTAACTCAACAAAACGTAAACATTAAAAACTCGCCCACATTAAATAGAGCCTTAATAAATGCAACCAACACTGCGAACGGCGAAAAATTGTATTCTTTTATTAATTTTATAGACGGGATGGTTTTAAATTTGGCGCCTTGAGCTTTAAAAGCTATCTTTCGATTTGTTCTAACAGCTTGAGAAGCCCTGGACAGCTGTGCTTACTAGTTTTCCAACACTGGCTGCGGTGATCAAAATCTGCATTTCATTGTTTTCTTTTGTTTAAATTAATTTTGAGAGAAAATACCCAATCAATGGAGAGTGTGGAAGTCTTGAAAAATACTTCAACTCCAGGAGATGTTGTGCCGCCAAAGGCATCCCTTCCCTTTACCTCACATTGCGTCCATTTGGAGGCGGGACCCTCGCAATTTACTGTGCGCGCTCTAAAAATGCAAGGCAGCACCATGCTGTTTGTAAATGCCAAGGAATCGGAAGTTTTTGAGGAGTTAGCGGTGGCCATGCCCTCTCGCAATCCCGCCAGCAGCGAGTCAATATCCTCCACAATTCTCGGCGGACACGGGCAGACCGATTCCTCCGTTCTGGCTGCTAAGTTAAGCAAACGCTATCACCGGCAATTCTATGTGAGCCTCAATCTCAAACTGGACAGACTGGCGGGTCCTCTGTTCGAAAAGTCGCTAGTCACCTACATGCAAGAGCATCTGGAGCACTTCGCTTGAGTGGGTACTACGTATATGTGGTATAAATTTAAACCTGCAGTCGCATACATATTTATTTCTGGTTCACGTGCACACAGGGCTCGCCACCGATGACACGGCGCCGCGTGGGGGTCACCATCTATTTCGGGGACCAGCGGCTATACCCCACGGACACAGCACTACGTACTCGCACTCCACTCAACCACACTCCATCGCACTATCTGGGATCTCCGATTCCCGATCTCCGCTCAGACGTCGTCATGCGGCGGTCGAGTGAGCGCGAACTTTAAAATAGAGAAACGTGTCGCAGAACCGATTTTTGTACAATAAATTTATTGCCCCTAAGTAAGTTTACAGACGACGATCGAAAGCTTTATCAATTGTGTCGCGATAGCAGTGCTCAGTGTAAGAAGAGGTCACCTGCTGTGGGAGTGATCGCGTGCCACCCGCATGCTCTTCAGGCCCGATGACGTGAAGGTCAGTTCGGCTGCACCGATCGCTTGGTTGATTATTCCGCAGAATCGCTTTTTAAATTCGAATATATTTCGTATTGCGCTGGTTTGTTTATGTGATGATTAGCAGGCATACCATTTGATTGGTGGGAAAGTGAATTGTGACTTTGTGCTACTAAATATTTAATTTGAGCATTAACAACATTGCTCTGTCGCTTTAATCTCGTTGGGCTTTACAATTCATTGACATTACCTATAGTACTATATTTTTACTTTTAGTCAAAAACAGCATTTATAACTATCGGTTTTCTGGCCGTCTAATTTTCAAAATCATTACTTGGCTTATGCCCATGATTGGCAAAAACGTTGACTATTTCCCGAAAAATCTTTGCTTGCTCATAGTAGATATTTGAAGCAAACTTCTGCTTTTAAATGAAAGTTTAGGTAATTCTTTTAATTCTTAATTCAAAATCAATGTGGTCTTTCAAAGGATGCCCAATGTATTGTTTTTTTTTAAGTGAGGAACGATGGTTAAATGGAATTGGACATGTTTACCAATACATATTTTTTTTCTAAAATACATATACTTTTAGTTTATTTTGCTTATCTTTTGTATAAAACATTTCATGCCGTGTTTTGTATTTGTTACCATTATTACATCGAACAACTAAACAAAATGCCGGAGGCAGCTTCTAAATACAGCTGTGTTCATAATAATAGCAGTGCAATAGCAACGAAGTAAAACAACGGTAATTTTAGCATATTCCTTTTCGTTAGTTAATCGCTTGATCATTTTTTTTTGTAAAATGGAATATAGAGATAGGAAAACTAAAAAAGTTCCATTAGATTTGCTTTTTATTTTCGTTTTTTGGACATTCTTGTGCAAAATCACAAGTTTTTGGCTGTTCATAATAATAGCAGTTTTTCATTTTCATCCACAAAAAGTGCCAAAAACATTAAAAATTTTGCAAAAAGTGAGTTTGATTAAGTTTATTAACATAATTTAAATAAAAATACACAATAACCATGCAAAAATTTTAATTTTAGTAAGTAGAGGACAACACTGTTCAGAGGAAGAGAGAAATTTGATAGTTCAGCTTAGAAAGCAGGGAAAAACCTATAAACAAATCCAAGATATGGTAAATTGTTCTACCAAAATGGTATCCAATGCCATTTATGGCATCCAGTGCCATTTAAATATGATTGGAAGGCCAAAACACGTGGGCCCAAACGAAAAACAACCGATATTAAGGACCGACGAATAGTGTGCTTCAGCAAAGCGAATCCTCTTGCATCTTCTAGGGATGTAAAAGTGGAGCTGAAGTTGGGGATCAGCGACGTCACCATTCGCCTTCGATTAGTAAATGGAAATTTAAATGCGCGAAGCCCCCGAAAGGTGCCATTACTTGGTAAAAGGCATATCCAAGCTCGAATGGAGTTTGCCAAAAGCCATTTGAACTGGCCAGTGACGAAATGGCGCAACATTCTTTAGACAGATGAGTCCAAACTGGTCTTGTTTGGTGGGACAGGCTCAAGACAGTATGTCCGACGACCCCCAAACACTGAGTACCACCCAAACCACACTCTAAAGACCGTTAAGCACGGTGGCCTTAAAATATTGGTATGGGCTTGTTTTTCGTACAGCGGCGTGGGTCGCATACATATGATCTATGGGATCATGGACCAACACGTCTATGTGGACATACTCAAAAATGTTATGCTTCCTTATGCACAGTGGGATATGCCCTTAAAATGGTCATTCCAGCAGGATAACGACCCAAAACATACCAGCAAATTGGCTAAGAGCTGGTTTATTCAAGAAAACATTGATGTAATGTCGTGTCCAGCACAGTCCCCGGATTTAAATCCGATTGAAAATTTATGGGGGGACATCAAGCGATATGTGGCAAAGAAATCCCCGACTTCAAAGTCGCAGCTTTGGCAATTTGTACCGGACGCGTGGGCGCACATTCCCACTAAGCGTTGCCAGGACTTGGTGGACTCCTTGCGACGGAGGTGTGGAGCTGTAATAGCCAATAAAGGTTTTCCGACAAAATATTAGTTAATATTTATCATTATTGTTATTTGTATTAAGTTATTTTTAAGATTTGTTGAATTTTTTAATTGTTTTTGGTAACACTGCTATTATTATGAACAGCGCATTTTGTCGTTATTATTTTGTTATTATGTATATTTTCGAAAAAAAATGGAGTTACTAAACTGAAACAAATGTTAACATAATTAAGATTAAATATATTATGTTGATGTAAACCAAATTTGTCCCAATTTAGTGTTTATACTATGATTTTTCGATCTTAAACATTTACGTCATCAGCACTGCTATTATTATGAACACAGCTGTACTTAAGGAGTCTCTTATAAATCATCTCCTTACAAAGAACTCTTCATAATTTATGTACAAACCTAAAGTTTACGTCGTGTTTTGTTCAAAAGTCCCAAACTAGCAAAGTCAGATGGACTCTGGGACGGCAGTTTTTCCAAGTCGTTCTATATTGATTTGCCTATCGTAGGACTAGACACACTTAATATCCATTGGCATTCTCAGACTGAAATTCGCCCTTGCTTCCTGCCCGCCAATCGTAAATCTAAATCGAGTGATAAGGCGTTTAAATTACCCCCGCCAAGAATGCCAGTCATATATAATGAAAAAGACCCCAGCGGCGTTGTGCAATTGTTGTTGGATCATACCGCATGGATGTGCCATTGAAACTTTTCCGCTAAACTTCCAAGCAGAAATACAAAAGCAAAAAAAAAAAACCCACGAAAATACGAAAACAAAATTTGGCTCTCATAATAATGCCCAGTCTAGACGAGATATTGTCAGGCGTATCAGCAGTGGTAACAGAAACAATAGCATATCGCTCCTAAATAGCAACACCCATTGAACGGGTATAAAAATAGAGTCCCAGCCGGAAGGTCTGCGCTCCAGGTTTTGTGGGCTCCCACGAATGTCTGGAATGCTTTTTTTTTCTCCGCTATTTTTCGGTTCCCCCAGTTGCCTAATAACTTTTCCTTTTTGGCCATATCTGTGTCTGGCGATAAGCGCCCTATAAATATTAGATCCGAGTCGGCCGAATTTGAGCAGCAGACTGTAATAAACGGATTGGAGTGGAGATGCGTGTGGTGGATCCATGCCTCGGTTGCATGTCCCTTCGCGGTGTGATTGTGATGACTGGCTGGCCAGCCAGCTGGCGGTACATGGGACCTGGACTTTGGAAGTCTGTCGGTGGAGCCAACAAAGCAATTAGCCTTCTGCCGCGGGTCTAGCATAGTCATATCAGCGCCCAGTGGGTTCCACGGCAGCGATAAGCGGACTGGACTTCGGTTGGGCATGGACCCTTCTCGCCACGGCGGCTGCACAGTTGCATCTCGGCGGAGATAAACCCCCAACTCGGGCGCACGCCCACCGGTCAACTTGGTTCGGATGGGATCGCATCGGATGGGGATCCCGAGGCACAAGCCGACTTTGCCGGCAGGGCTTATCGGACCACCAGCCACCTTTGCCAGCCATCCAGACCCCGCCGGTTATCGGTCGAGTGTTGTTAATTTGATAGAAATATTGAACATCATTCCGGCCGGCGGACTGCACCCTGCGAATCCAGTTCGATCCGGATCGAGTGTCTGTCGCCCAGTTGTTTTTATTTACGCCGAGCTTCAGATCACGGAAAATTAATAAGCGCACACGCTTCGGATCCCCAAGCTGAAATTCGCCAATGTTCGCCAATGTTCGTTGGTGTTTTATTATTCCTTTTCCTTATCAGTTTGTGGAACTTCTGCTTCTGGACTTTTGCAATGTCCGAGGGGGGGAGACCGATTCCACGATTCCAGCTCGGATCGAGAAGCATCCGGAGGAGCAGGAGGCGAGACAATGCCGGTCTTATCGACGGACGCTCGAGCCATACAAAGTTCACATCGGCTGGCAGAAAATCCGGATTTTTTACTCATTTTCTGGGCTATTTAATTGCCCGTCAGCCACGGGCAAAGCATAAAAATTAGGTTGCGACTGGTCTGCTTCAATTTTGGGGCGGGGTGGGATGTGGTTTCTAAAAGCCCCAAGGCCGCACCTCGGAAGATTCCGCTGAACTGACCTCGCCGGGCGCAACTGTACTTTAGTCTGTGGTCTGATTGTGCACAATATATTGTACAATATTTATACCCCCTATCTATTTATAAATCATGATTCGGCATCTGGTCAGGGAGATTGGGAATTACGAATTACAAACTGCAAGTGGAACTGGAACTGGAAATGGCAGTCCACCTGTCGCTCTGCTGATAGAGGACAAGGGCTTATCAAAGTCCCTGATGTCGTGTTGTCTTTACGTAAGCCAGGGACCCCACTCGGTGGCCCGTGCACTCGCCCGGATTACGCTCGATCGGTGGGTGGTGGTTTGGCTTGGTGGTTTGGTGCGGGGTGGGTGTTATGCGAAGGTGGAGCGAAGGTTGCTCCGCCAGTGATTCACGAGTCCAGACAGCGCCGCCGCCGCCTGATAACGCCGATAGCTGATAGCCAACAGCTAATAGCTATAGCCACCACCACCCAGCAGAGCGCAACTCCGCTTCCCGTCGTGCCATTCACGTCATGGCGCAGAAAGTTTTCGGGCCCGGAAAGATATGGAGCGGCGGCATGTGGCGGCATTTGTTGACTTGCCGTGAGATAACCACCTTATCGCATCCAGCGGTCCCCAGACGCAGCGCCCACACACTGAGGTGAAAACGGCGGCCAAACCTAAGAATGAAATTCTGGGTTTGGGATACTACGTTAAAAGATATATGTACTTAAAAACTCAACGAGTCCTGATAAAATCGTAAAATTATAAATAAAGAAAATAGGTCTTACGCATTTAAAGTAATTAAGGCATGGCTTAAAATGATCTTAAGTACTTTAAAATAGAATCTGATAAACTTTCTATTGTGGGATTCTGAGTGTCACACTGCCTTAGTTTATCCTATTTTTGACTTGCTAAAATGGACCCTGAATTGTTTATCTTTATGCAATATTTACAAAGAAATTCTTTACCACATTGTACTTATCTGAGTTCAAGTTTAAGCGAACTTATTACTTTTTGAACTTCTAAATCAGGGCTTTCCCAAAAGAAAGAATTTTTTAAAATCCGTTTTTCTTAAACATTTGATGAGTATGTTATTTTCTTTTTTTTTATTTATCTTTTAAATTAAATAAAAATAAAAATGTCATTGAAATCGGTAAAATATTGTAATGTCAACAACTTGAAGTGATTGTTGTTTCTAAATACACAATCTTGAGGCATGACTTCATAATCTAGAATAACGAATCCCAAAACATTATGGCTCATGGTATAATGTTGATTCTAGATGTAGCTAGTTTACCCTGATTTCCCGAGCACCTAAGTAGTTTTTCTCTGAGTGCACGGGGACAGATGTTGACGTACCTGTTCCGAGCGAAAGGGTGGGGCGAATCGGTTCGCAGGGCGGGGATGCAGGGAATTCGCTTGGCGGTACGAAGTGCAAGTCAGGCAGACGGCACCGGGCGATAAGGCTTGCCCCCCAAAGAGCGATCATCGAGCGCACACATGTACATGGTACATATGTTGGCTGGCTGGCTGGCTGGCTGGTTGGTTGGTTGGTTTTCCACTTGTGCGTTGATAAGCGCTGCCAGACCGCTCCCCCTGGCCAGCCCCTTCGGTCGCCCGTGATCCGCAGTACGGAGTTACACTCACGTAGTGTGTGCTTTTGCCCCAGATCCACTTGCCCCAGTGGATTTTTTCCACCGCCCGCGCCTCCGTGCGCTACGCACCTGCTCTTCTGCCCTCCAGTGTTTTGGTTCCGTCTGTCGCCGCCGTCGTCGTCGTCGCCGCCCTTTCCCCCCTGTCGCCACTCCCCCGCCGGACCCGTCTGCAGCCTTCGGCACTGATAAGCGTTCCCTGTCCGTCTGGCCGACCCCTTATCACGCTCCGAGTTTCGCATATTACACGAACCTCCGGAGGCGAGCGGCTCATTCGATCGGCAAATGCGTTAGCGAAAGCAACTTATTCTTTCAATCGCCATGGATATAGTACAAAAGTCAATCTTCAACAGCGGCCCCACCAGAGGGATATACGAGCCGCCCGTCGGCTACTATACGCCGTACAACACTCCGCCTTACATAGCCGGATATACGGATTCCGGCACTTGGCTGGCGGATCACCACAGTCAGCATCAGCCGCACCAGCAGATGCAGCACATCCGGTTCCCAACGCCGCCTATTACGCCGCCGCGTCCCCTCGCCGGATACGGATATAGCCACCGCACCCAGTCCGTGATCATGAAGGCCCACGGCCAGCAGGACGAGATCTGCCGGAGTCCCGTGGAGTTCCCCGACGACAGCAAGTCCTGCAGCAGCGGCAGCGAGTGCGGCACCACCAGCGATTTCGTGTGCAACTGGATCGAGTGCGATAGGTAAGCATCGATTGTGTTACTGCATTACTCAGGGGGAAATTGCAACAATTTGTCATAAGTTACGTTACATTTTATTGAGGGGAAGAACCCCCTATCCGTGCTTTGAGCTTAATTTTAAACTTATGAAACGAGCTTCTTGGAAAAATACTCATTTAAATATTTAAACTGAATACTTACAAAATCAGAAACAGATTTATAAAGAATTCAAAATTATAGTAAAATTTAGGAATTTGAATTTTTTACATTTTCTAGCTGTTGATTGCATGAGAGAATATGGAAAACTTTCATTATTCTGTTCTGTTTTATGAAACCCCTGCATTTTTCATTAAAACTGATTAAGCTCTTATACAGAAAAATGCAGCAGCCTGGTATTTGTTGAGCTCTTGGACTGAACTTTTTGATTAACCAGTACGCATTAATACGCGATAATAATATGACATTTGGGTCAATACGATAGGGCTTAAATATTATTTATGGCTAAGAACGGTATTTGATTTTGGATCGTATTTACGAGATAATATTCATTTGATAAAATTGCCAATAAAACGAATGATTTTCATAACTAACCACTGATTTTGTTCTGATCATTGCAGAGTTTTTGACACACTGGAGGCACTGGCTCAACACGTGACCCAGAGACACGCGATCGCCTCGCTCACAGATGGACTCTACTACTGCCGCTGGCGGGGATGCCAGCGCAGCGAGCGGGGATTCAATGCCCGCTACAAGATGCTCGTCCACACCCGCACGCACACCAAGGAGAAGCCCCACCGCTGCCACCTGTGCGAGAAGTCCTTTTCGCGGGCGGAGAACCTCAAGATCCACATCAGGTCGCACTCCGGCGAGAAGCCGTACAAGTGCAGCTTCGAGGGCTGCCAGAAGGCGTACTCGAACTCCTCGGACCGGTTCAAGCACACCCGCACCCACTCGATGGAGAAGCCCTACATGTGCAAGGTGTCCGGCTGCCAGAAGCGCTACACGGATCCCTCATCGCTGCGAAAGCATGTGAAGACCTTCAAGCACAGCATCCACCTGATCGCCAGCCAGCCCCTCAGCCTGCCCAGCGCTCCGTGTCTCCTGGAGTCCAGCAGCGAGTCCGCCTTCACCTGCCTTCCAGCCGCCGGCAGTGTGGAGTCCACCTGCTCCTCCGCCTCCACCCGCTACTACGATGACTCCAACAACGAGCCCAGCGATTACTCGCTGAAGCCCAAGCCAGATGCGGAGTTCTCGCCCAGCTATTGGCTAAGCGAGCGGCAGCATAGTTACCTCCAGAGCGAGGACTTCTTCGTCAAGATGGACGTGGAATCGCCGCTGGATCTGCGCATCCACAGAATTTGAGCCTCCCGATCGGTTCGCCTCTCGTCTCTCTTCCCCCGTCTAGTCATCGCGCTGTCTCCCAGCTCTTGTCACTACACTTAGTTTAATGTTTAACCTGATTAAAGACTGTTGTATTTGAAGACATCTTGTTTAAAATGGGGAATGGATGAGGTCACCAAAGAACCAACAGGCATTGTTAAGAATTCCTCATTAATCATAGGGATTCTGGAAATACAATCCAATAGCTTTTTTTTTTTACCATGTATGGTTTTCCTACGAATTAGTCCAAGAAATCTGGGAACTTTTAATCTCTTTCTATACTCGATTATAATTTCTTTATATTAATGTCTGAGTGAGGAAATCAGACTACTGACTCATATAGCAATTGCAGAAACGATCTTCGGGTTTTTTATGTCATAAAGGAAATAATAAAAGAGAGCCGTAAAAATTAATTATTTAATTAATTTAAAAAATTCCAAATATCAAGTAATATTTGAAAACGCAAAGGTCAAGGATTTGGACAAACCCCAAGCAACTGACCAATTGGGAATTGCCGCGTGATCATTATCTCCTTCGATAACTTTTAAAAAACCTAGGCGTACCTATATTATTATCTGTTTAAGGGAAAGTCCCCGTTTATAATGGCTATGCCCACAGAAGACTGGATATTTGAAAATATTTATTGTTTAAATGCGCATCTAGACGAGATTTTACAACTGTTAATAACAGATTAAATCTTTTTTGCGGCTAATAGGAATGTTAGTTGATCTAGATAACCTCTCGTTTTTACAAACAACAAGAACAAACAAAATAAATAGCAAAAGTATTTCACATTTGAAATAGTTAAATACACTTTGAAAGCGGTATCAGGGTGTACACTATATATACGCATATATACTGGCAACATACTACATAGTAGAAACAAAAAATTTAAATAATTATTATTGTTGCACTCGCGTCGTTTAAGGAAACAATTACGTTGCAGTCCCACCGTCCGGATTTCCTGTACAGCTGTACACCTGCGCTGGATGTGCCTTGTGGTGGCCACCAGCATTAGACCATGTCCAGTCACCATTAGCATTAGCATTATGCTTTAAAAAACCTTACAACTCGTACAATATATTGTCGACAAATCGGGCACTCGTTCAGTACTTTTCCACAGTTCGTACAGGTTGCCATGTGGCCGCACTCGAGGAAAACGCACTCAATTGCGTGATCCATGCAAATTTTGCAAAGCTCATCCGTGGGCAGTTTCTCCACAGCTGCATAAATAGTTCAAGTATTAAACAGGTGAAATTACGGTCAAACGTCCAAAGCTCACCTGGAGACTCGCGCATGGTTTTCCATAGCCGGCTAACCCGATCGAGCAGTTCCTGCTTCTCGCAGCAGCCTTTGTAGTCGACGCGGTGCAACATGAGCACCTCTTTGAGCTGCTTTACCGTCAAACCCTCCAAGTCTTTTCTGTATATCGTAAGATACTTAAAACCAACCCTAGATTTAGGAGATAGTAGACCACTTACAAGTCCTCAAAGTCTTCCAAATTGACGAAACGTGAATCAATGCCGGCGGCCGGCTCAAAGTCCGATGGTGCCGCATACACATGAATGCCCTCGTCGTCGTCCCAGCGGATATCGTCGTCCTGAGTGGGCGAGAACTCAATGTTCGGCGTGATGGGCATGTCCGGGGATCTGCCGCCGGCTGCCACACTAATCGCATCCACGCTGAGCGGGGAAACGGCGTGACTCTCCGCATCGGAGGCATCCACGGACTTGGTGCGCTGCTCCAGGTACGTGAGAAACTCCTGCAGCTCCCTCTTGATGTCCTCCTCGGACATTTGCGAGTTCTCCAGATGGCGCCGCATCTTCTCCACATGCCGGCGTATGTTTGTTTTGTTCTTACCGCAGCGCTGGCAGCTCTGGCGATGGGAGTGCGCATGGAGACCGTTCTCTGGCTGTTCGCTAAGCGTTGAAAGCCCCAGGCTGAGTCTAGTGCCACTCGGTGCCACTGGGGACTCGTCATCGCTGGAATGGTGGGGCCGATTCAAGTAGCCATCGGAGCGTCGCCGGGTCACCTTCTTTGTGCGCTGCGGCACGGCGGGATGGAGTGCAGGACTCGGATTAGCCGGGCGCTGTTCAATGTTCAGCGTCTGTGTGCTCTCGCCCATTTGGCCATCTTCACCCTCGACTGCTGGTCTGCTCCGCAGCGTAACCTCCAGGATCTCTTCAGCGGCACTTGTGGTCGGCGTTTCCTCTGCAGCCGGTTCGATTCGGTTCACCTCGAGCACCTGCCACTGGTCCAGATGGCTGCTGTTCGTGTCCGTTGTGGCCTTGCTCTCGTCGGAGATGCCCCCAATGGCGCCCAGCTCCTCGAAGCTTGACTGTGAGGAGGCATCCGCCTTGGAGCTGCTCGAGCCCTGCTTGGAGCAACCCGGACTGGCTGCTGTTGTGCCCCGAGCGCCATCTGTTCCTTCCACAAGCCCAGCAGAGCTAGGCTCTGCAGGAGCGTTGGCCCTTCGGCCACTGCTATCGGTTTTAAGCGACAGTGAAACTCGCTCACTAAACGTGGCCATAATCTCGTCGTCAGAGCACTCGCAGTCTGACTTGCTAGGCGCCTCCTCCTGCTCCTGCTCCCGCCTCTGAACTACCGGAGCCTGGCTGCTGCTGCTGGCATCACGATTATTGGGTGCCTGCGTGGAAGTTGAGGGACTGCTGCTGTTCCGGCTGCCTCCATTGGTAGTGGAGCTTGCAGTTGCCTCTTGATGGACATGGACCCGTTGTGGTCCGCCGTTTACGGCACTAGCATATGTGGGAATCTCTCGTTTGGACACTCGCGGCTGCTCGAAGATGTGGGTGGGCGCCTCCGGCGACTGTCTGCTCTCCGGCGGCTTTTGAGCAGTGGCCTTTGAGTCGAAAGAGGCCAGCGAATCGCTTATATTGTCGCTCAGGTTGGAGAAGAAGTTTTGGCACGACTGTTTGAGGTTGTCAATGGGGTTGGCTTGACCCCGACCCGGACTGTTGGAGGAAGCGTTCGACCCGCGACTCCTGTCCATCTGGGCCACATGGGTGAGGACCAGACCAACCAGTTCCTCTTTCTCTGCGGGGTAAAGTATAGTATAGTATATTTAATTACAATTTCGGGGGATTTCAAAGCAGAGTGACTCACCCAAACAGCCTTCAGTGGAGATGTGTTTGGACTGCAGATAGAAAATTAGGTCCTTGGGTTTGAGCTTCAGCAGATCTGTCCTTAAAAGCGGACGCTGAGCGAAGACCGAGCATCGCTGGCATCTTCTGGCCGCAATGCAGTTGGCACAATAGTAACGTCTGTACGTGGGTTATCAAATAATTCAGGTGATTCCCCGAAATTTCGGATACGATTATTTCATGATGGCATTACTCACTTGCAGTCGAAGCAAGCGCGCTTGCGACGAAACACCGTGAATTCCACGGCGCAGCTTTCGCAAGGCATCTTGGACAGCTGGACAGTGGGCAGTTGCACCTATCGACCGTATCCTTGCGCTGCGGTATCCTTGCAACTGCTCCCCTTTCCGCCTGCTTACGCCCACTGTGCTGGCATTGCATTTGTTTTTCAATGTCAACGCCGTGAATCACTGGATGGTCAAAGCTGCACACACTGATCTCCTGTCCACCTGGCGGGAATTTCTAAGACTGTTTTAAGTATCTACGTCAACACTTAATTGTAGGCAGCTGGCGGGGATCACGATGATTTTTATAAATTTTTATCAGGCAAAATAGTAATTCAATGTACCAGGGCTGTTGTGAAATATATACGTATGTGGCAAGGTTGCAAAGATGCAATGTTATCGGTTTGGTAATCCGATAAGGTAATCGATGATATTGCATCTAGGCGGGTGATTTCAATTCAGGGTGCCTAAATCTCTAACAATTTGTATTTTTAAAATTTGTATTAAAAGCTTGATCTGTTCGGGTTGAATCTCTGTAAATAATCTGAAAACTTGTATGCAGTCTGGAAAGGTGATGTGCTCACTATTAAAAAGCATCTTCTTCAAATTGATATAATTAACAAACTCAATTAACTAGCATATGCAATTACTCTTTTAGTTGCTTTTATTTAATTCACATCCACTACTTACAGTTAAGTATGTAATTGTATGCATTTAAATATTTAAGTGCCATAAAATGTTGCAATCTTGTTTAAAATAATACATCAATTAGTTACTAAGTATTATATGGTCTGCCTTCTGCTCCGCCTTCAAGTCATTTTAGTTGTATATACACATGTGGTTTCCGATGATTGAGCTTTTCCGAAATTCTTGTCGATAAGTCTTTAATTACATAAACAAATGCGTCCGTTGTTGCTCCGGCCAGAATGTTGGCCAGCCAATAATAAGAGCTGGCTAATGATGGCAGTTGGAGTCCGTCCTCAAGCAGCGCCAGCACCGCATCGTTCGTTTTCAGTAGCCACGGGTGTTTTTCGTTTTTAAGAGGGAACTTAAGCAGCAGCAAGAGAGAGCGAGTCGTCAGTGAAGGTGAAAATGTACATTCTTTAATTTCTATTGGCGAGTTGAACGTTGCTTGGCCCTGAAGAGACATGGAGACTGCTACTACGACACGAGACCCGAATCCCCGGCCTTCACGTGGCTCTGCAGGGGATCGTCGTTGTTGTTGTCATCGTCGTGGATGCCCGACGACACCATTGCCCGCGTTTTTTCATAGTCGACAAAGTCGTCGAACAGACTGGGCCACGCTTCGGTGTCATCGTAATTTTGTATATCACATTGTTCCGTAAAGTTGAGGTACATGTTCCATGTATCCTTCGGTATGCGGCGAATATTCGGGTGCTTTTCGAGGAAGTGTATCCAGTTGGAGAAGAGATCAGGTGTTTGTACAGTGAACACTAGTTTCCACAGGTCGATGGCCATCTCTAAAGAGAGAACGCGCTGATCGGGCTCCAGGCCAAAGCTAAGAACGAGGAATATTAGATATAATCAGATGTAGCGTAGAGGCAGCAACATACCGAAAGGTGAAGCGGTATAACTGCTTGAACATCTCGGCGTCCGCCTTGAGCATCTCGATCGTTTGTTCCAGCCGCACCCGGATGCTGGCTATTGTATCCGCCCGCATTTTGTGCAGGCCCTCGATGAACTCCGCCTTAGTGAAGCGGCACATCTGAGAGGCATCCAGGCACCACGCCAGGACCAGAATGGCGAACTCATCGGGCTGATAGTTGAGGTCATTGCACAGGCGTTCGATTCCATCCGTGAGTATCATATCCTCGTCGTCCGGATCTTTGTACACGTCGAATAGTTTGTTCAGTGCCTGATGCGACACCTCCATGGATTCCTTGACAGCTAAAAGCACAGAATCGATTATGGGTGTTTTATTATAGCGACGCTGACAAACGCTGCTGACTCACCAGTTGTTATGATATCGCTCATGGTGGGCGCACTGCCATTAAGCAAACCTAAAGACTTAAAACTATTACGCTTAGTATCACAATTGTTTGCTTTTGCTGGCTTGAGTGGAGTTCGGCTAGAGAGCAGTTCATCGGTTTCTGGGGGAAAAGAAAGGGTTAGACTTAGACTTTGGTTTATTAATTATGAAATACCCACCGAGGGCGCAGCGCTCGTTGGCATTGGGATTAGTGCCCACCGAATCGTAGCAGTTTGCAAGGCTGGTGGCCGTCTGGCAGGCGTTGGAATTGTGTGAATTGGGGGACGAGGCGTTCGTTGGCATCGATTGTTCGGCGGCAGACTGGAAGCATTTCAGGCAATTGCCCATAGTGCGGGCGTGCAAAGTGCGGCTGGCCGTTGGCCACTGCTTCCGGGTGCTCCTCCTCCTCCTCCTGCAGTTGCTGCTCTAAGAGGAGCACGCGATGGCCTCCAGTTTCGATTTGGCTAAAGGCTGACACTGGTGATTTGTCAAGGGCGTGGATCTGTGAGGTTTAATCCTATGGCTCCTTGGGAATTTATTGGCTGGGCATTGGCACTGCTGTTTCCTCTGCTGACATATGGTAGTGGCTAACCCGATTTCGAGTACGAGTACGAGTTCGATTCCGATTCTTTGTTGCTACTGCGATTGCTGTTGTTATTTTGGTGCCTCCTACGCAAACGCACACTCACGCGTATACACATACATGTGCAGCTTGCATTTGCAGCATACACTGCCTCCGAATCGCGCTCGTTTGCTTTAACGACTGTTTTTGCTTACATTTTCAGTTCACCTCGTTAATGAGTTTAGTTTAACTCTAATTTTGTGCAATTTTTAAATGTGATTTTTCTTGCTTTTCCACTTGTTTTTTTCTGACGGACCAGAGCAATCGGACCAGGGCGGCACAAGTCAACCAGGGCAGCACTGCTCAGTGGTGGGTGCGTGCGATAGTTCGTGGCTAGTAGGTGAATGGTAATGCCGTATCGTGCTCTCCGAGAGTTAAACAGAGTGTGAGAGAAAGGGTCACAGTGGACACAAATTCAAAATTTAAAACATATTTAGGCGAAATTTCTTTAACTTATGTTTTCTTCAAATTAGGTTTGCCAAAATACCAAATATGTAAAAATTCCTGAAATACTTAAATTTTGATCATAAGACTAGTTTTATGAATGTATAACATAACAAAACAACATCAAAATCGGCAGTTGCTTGTTTTTTTTAATAATCTCAAAATCATGTATAAAAAAACTATGTGCTGGTGAAATACACAATAACCTTTTTTACCATTCCTATGAAACTTTTTAGTTGAGGAAAATAACCCCCGTTTCTGCATTTTTCTCGTCCACTGTGCGTAATTTGAGCGCCGAAGTTTGAGCCAAGTTAACAATTTCATTCAACAACATGCAGTCGGAGCGGTAGAAAGTGCTTCCGGGTAAATGCTCTTGGTACGTGCATATTCTAGCGATCGCAGAAGAAAACTTTCAATTGGCTAAAAAGAAAAGTGTCAAGCTGCCCAGTGGGAAAATCCTGCATGTGAAAAGCGGTCTTTAATCGGGACAGTAAACTGGAAGTGAGTGTTTGTTGTTTATTCACGGGCAAGTAGTGTGTATCCGTGGTAAATGGTTGACTGCCTCGAATTTCGGAGTTTTTTGGGCAATTCGAAAACCAGCCAGCAAGGTTGACTGAACTTGGTAGTTGGTATGTAAGCCAACTCCGTCGTGTGTAGTAAATCTGTACTTTTTGGTGTGTGCGTGTGTGGGCCTGTGATTCTTCGGGTTCGGCTACACTTTTCATTTTCTTTTTTGGATTATTAATTCACAACGTGTGAACGTTAGTACAAGCTCTGTTGGTAAAAAGGGCCAAATGAAATCTGCTTTACGTATGTACATACATACATATAACTTGAATCAGCTTCATGCGAATTTTAATTGCCCAACCACTGTGTAACATAAAAAAAGAGTTATGACAATATATCTAAGTAGAGAAGATTAAACATGATTTTTCGATACAGATAATATCTGAGTTTGTAATACATCTAAAAACAATTTTTGTGATAAGTAAAAACATCAGCAAAACTAATTACCGTTATCTATACAGGGATCTATAAAAATCTTTCTGAAAAGCTTTTTTAAAGATTAAACAATTTAATTTAAGTTAAAAACCGTAGATTATAATAATTTGCCGATAGAAAAAGAAGACAACGTTAAAAAAAAATTGATGAGTAGGAATAAATTTTGTTGACCTTCAAAGTTAAAAAATATGCAAGCCTTGTTTATTCTTCAAACTCTAAAAGACACAATCTCTGTTTAAAACATTATGAGTAGATCATTTCGGCCATAGCAGATAGTTCTTTGGGTATGTTGGCCATATTTTCCAGGTAGCAAGCTAGCTCATCAACATTTTCTTCATCTAGGTTCTGCATTTGAGCTTCATAACCTTCATATAGGAAGCCATCCTCCAGTTTTTCACACTCAATTTGTAGGCCCTTAAAATCAAAGGCATTTTTAGAGGCCAAATCCATTGGAACTGTAGATTCGTTTATCATCTCTTCAGATTTAAATCTTTTTAAGTTCTTTAACTTTTCACCTTTTTCGGACTTGGTCATCAAGGCCTTCATGTCGAAAGTATCACTAGATAATGGTTTGCCTCTAACCCAACTTGATTTCACCTTCTCCTCATTAGCAAGATTTTTGTTCTGGCAATCCAGACTCTCAGATTGGGGTCTTCCATAGAAACAATTAAGTCGAGCCTTTCGCAGCAAAATTTTTTGCTTCAGCGGTTGATTCTTGAATCCTAAATCTTCCAGCTGGGAACCCAGGGTCTCCTCTTCCATGGAATCTTTTAACTTAGATTTATCGCTTGGAAAGTCCGATATCTTAATGTTATGCAGCTCAAATAGCAACTTATCTAAAGGCATCTTAAACTTCAATGCTAACTAACTAGAATTGCGTGTCAACGTGTGTGGCTTGTTTATGTGTTCTATATCTTAGTATATCTGAGAGAGTATAAAATAAATTAGGAAGTATTTTGAAAAGCCTATTCATAGGGAGTTGGATTTCTTTCAGTTCGATTCGAGAATTTCTATCGCAAGTCTGATTGAAAGATAAAAGAGACTGGAATGTCTTCGGATCGGTTTCACAAGTGAGTACATGCAATTAATTTGGCTCTATCTTATCACCATTGAAATGCACAAGACTCATTAACTCTCTGGATCTCTTTATTCAGAGCCGCCAAAGATGGGCTTTTGGATGTGTTGTCGGCAGCCACAAGAAAGGACACGAATGCCAAGGACAGTGATTCCATGACTCCGGTCATGTGGGCAGCATTTGAAGGACGTTTGGATGCACTGCGATTACTTTGTGGAAGGGGGTATGTTATGGTTTTTTAAATATATTCTTTCGTTAATTGACTTTTTTCTACTAGTGGTGATCCTGACAAATGCGATCAATTCGGAAACACAGCACTGCATTTAGCCTCTGCCAAAGGTCATTTGCATTGCGTTGACTTTCTGGTAAAGTTTGGAGTAAATATTTATGCATTGGACATCGATAAGCACAGTGCCAAGGATTTAGCGGCTATAAATGGCAGGGATGAGATCCTGCGTTATTTGGATGTGGCTTTTACAAACTTCGAGGCGAATGAAAAGTAAGATGACGTCTTTTAATTGGACAATTTTTAGATTTTATAATAATATTAACCAATTCTAACTGAAATACTAACTTATTTCGAATGGATGCATCATTTCACTACAGATTCTTAAAATTTTAGTGTGTCAGGAAAAAACTTTAGCCTTAAAAAAATATATTTTAAACAAAAATCTAACATATCTTTAATATTAACCAAAATTAAATTAAATTAAATTAAATTATATTTTAACAAATATTATAAGTTACAACAACCAAAATAATAATTATATTTTATCTTTTAGAAAAAAGTCCAAGGCCCTGAAGGAGCTGGCGGAGAAGAACTGCGATAAACGAGTGCGGGAGTACATGAAGCGTCAGCAGCAGCAGCGCCAGGATCCCGACTACGCCGACCTGGGTCCACCCAGCAACGGCACCACCAAATCCAGCAACATGCTGTCCACGCTCAAGCAGAAGATCTGGTCCAGCCAGGGCAACCTGAACAAGCCGCCCAAGGATCCGCCAGCTCAACCCGGACCCACAAAGTTCAGCGATCTGGTGGGGAGCGGGAGCAGCAGCAGCGGGGGATCCACGATAGCCAGTCGAGCGGGAACGGTCCAGAAGAGGCCATCCCAGGCGCACAAACAGCACAGCAGCACATGTCCGCACTCCAAGAATTCCGGCGACTCCGATGGGGGTTTTAAAGTACGTGAAGTGGAACCCGATGGCAAGCGAACGATTACCTCGCTGACGGGCTTGCAACGCGACTCGGAAGTGATGTATGTGGGCACCTTCAGTTCCAACGAGGATAGCATCGGCAAGCGCGGCAAGATCAGCGATGTTTTCGAGTGCCTGGAGGCCGATGAAACGGATCACAATGATAATCGCAGTGGGTACAGCTCCGCTTTGGCGAGGTCCTTCTCGCAACCGGACATTCTGGGGGATGGTCACTTGACCCAGGAGCTGAGTGAGGAGGTGACCCTCCAGCGACCCGTGGGGCTCTTCGACAGACCCACCATGCTGGGCAGCATAGCCTTCCGGCGATCGGTGACCGCTGCTCTGAGCCAGCTGCAATTGCACACGGACACCAGTTCCACGTCCACGATGCGAAACGCGGGCAGCAATCCACCGAAGTCAAGAAATGGCGGAGGAAAGGGTCGTTTGTATCTGAATCTTTCGGATGACACGGATTCCGAGGGTGGTGGTCAGGACCTTTACAGCGACGATGACGACGACGATCGAGAGGCTGGCGGCAGTGCCCTGCAGCGATTCCTGGCCGTCTGGGCTCTAGAAGAATACCTACCAGTGTAAGTGCTTCTTAGAAGTTATCTACTTTAAATAATACATATTATGGGGTGCTTATTTGATTTTGATAATGGAAAGGAAATTATCAAAAACCAAAAAAGGAAGCGAGCCGAAGCTTTTATACCTTTGCAGTCATAAAAATTGGCCAAACAAAAGTTATGACGATTTTTATACCCAGGCAGATAACATAGTATTGGAATTTCAGTCGAGAAAAAAGTTTCATAAAAAACGCAAAACTATAGCCGACATAGGATAGATCGAAACATCTATATAAAATGTATGGAACAAATTATACTATCGATGAATTTTATCATAAAATTTATTTGTCATAAATCTTGAATATAGAGTTTTCTAACAACACGGCTTTTCGGAATATGACTTTTTCGGATAATGGTCCGATACCTGCACCTAAAATACCATAACATTTCTTATGACTGAAATAAATATACACTCTGCAAGGGTATAAAAACAAGCCATAAAATAATCTTTAATAAACACAACATTAAGATGATAATAGGCTTAAATATTATTTCCAACTAATTTCAAGCTCCTTCGAATCCCTATCTCCCATTGCAGATTCCAGAAGCAGGAGATCGACCTGGAAACCCTGATGCTGCTCACGGAGTCGGACCTCAAGTCCCTGGGTCTGCCGCTGGGTCCATTCCGCAAGCTCACCTTTGCGATCCAGGAGAGACGCAACGCCCTGGCGAATCCCGGCCCAATGGTGGATAGTCGACTGTAGTTAATCGTCTATTTATTCTATTTTGTCGTAATACTTTTACATGTTCTATTAGCCTAGTGTACATACTAAATTAAAGCCTAAAACTATTATCACCCCAAGTCCGCTGCTTAGCTTGCAACCTGTTGCATCAGGTAGAGATTGGCGTAGATGCGATTCAGGGCCATCAGCTCATCGTGAGTTCCGTGTTCCACGACAACTCCTCGTTTCAAGACGCAGATGAGATCCGCATTTCGCACGGTGGTCAAACGATGGGCGATCGTGAGACAGGTTCTTCCAGATCGTGCCTCATCCAAAGCCTGTTGCACCACCTTCTCGCTCTCCAAGTCCAGCGCCGAGGTGGCCTCGTCCAGGATGAGGATCTTGGGATTCCTCACCAGCGCTCGAGCGATGGCGATGCGCTGCTTCTGACCTCCGGAAAGCTGGGAAGTCTTGCCCAGCCGAGTCTCGTATCCTTGGGGCAGGGCACTCACAAAGTTGTGGATGTTCGACTTCTTGGCCGCCTCGATGATCTCCTGCATGGACACATCGTCCCGGAAGTTGTTGCCATAGGCAATGTTCTCGGCAATGGTGCGATCGAACAGCACGGGTTCCTGGGATACCAATCCCAATTTGGAGCGCAGTGTATCCAGTGGGAAGTCAGTGCTGGGCACTCCACTCAGGTTCACTGATCCCGAGACGGGATCGTAGTAGCGGAGCAGCAGCTGCACGCAGGTGGACTTTCCAGATCCGGAAGGACCCACCAGAGCCACCGTCGTCGACTTCTTGATCGTAAGATTGAGGCCCTGCAGAATGGGAGTTCCCTTCCTCGTCGGATACTCGAAGCCCACATTCTCGTAGACAATGTCGCCCTCGGATTTCTGAAAGTCAAATAAATGACGACACATAAGTACCAATCGACAAAAATCAATAAACTTCATGGAATTTTGATTGAAAATAAATTGAACGAAAAAAGAGAGCTTTACAATGTAGTTTTTTAATTGCCCTATAAAAAATTCTTGCAAAACAAGTTGAACGGAAAACGAAAAAGATTTTTGAAAATCTGAGATCTTTTTTATATCTTTCATTTAAAGAAAACTTGATATTAACAATTCAAAATAAACTGACAGGAAAACTAAGATCATAGGATGATTATTAATATTTTGTTTTGCAAGGAATGGGTTTTGTTCTACTTTAGAAAGAAGATTAAATTGGAAATGTTTTAAAAAGACTTTCATATTTTCAGATATCTTATAGCTTTGTATGTGCAACATTTTAAAATTAAGAACATATCCATTAGGTAAACTCACCTCGACTGTGTTGTAGGGACTCTGTGGCGGATTTGGCTGCGTGGAGGTTTTCGTAAACAGATCCATCAGACGTCCAGCGGACAGAATAGCATCGTTCACATTCGGGGCGTAGGCCAGCGCCTGTCCCAACATCCAGGAGCCGAAGATCAGAGCCTCGGCCACCTTGATGATGTCCTCGTAGTCCATTCGCTCGTCAGCCACCAGAATGCCACCGTAGTACATGGAGATGCCGTAGGCCAGGAAGGGAGCAGCTTGTCCCAGGGCGAAGACCAGACCGCGGAAGCGAACCTTTCGCCTGCAGGCGGAATCCACTCGATCGATCTGCTCCACGTACTGACCCAACACCTGTCGCTCCAGGCAAAGTCCATTTACGGTTCGGATATTGGTGATGGCTTCGACGGCCACTTGGGAAGCCTCCTCCACAGAGGCCTTGGCCTTCTGGGCACTCTTCATGATGAACCGACCCTCCAGGTAGACAGACAAACACACCAGGGGCAGGGTGACCAGGGTGAGGAGCGTCTGCTGCCAGGAGAACACGAATCCGATGATCATGCCGACCAATAAGGTGGCCACTGCCTGCAGCATGGTGCCCACACGGGATCCAGTTGCCTACAAATTAAATGAATAACATTAAAATTAGTTTACAGAACTTAATAATGAAGAGTAAAAAGAAATCAGATAAAAGTTACTATTTGATGAAGTTAATTTTACATACTATTGAAACTAAAGATTCCACATAATATTTTGTATTTTTCAATTTAAGCTTGTCATATAAAAAATATTCTAAAAAAGATTACATTTTCCATACTTTAAGATGCTTTAAGAGAAGTATTAGGATACCTTTTTTTTTATTTTTTAAGTAACTTTTTTAAGTCGAGTAGAAGTTTTGATTAGTTTTGTAACTCACCCCTTGAACATTTGAGCAATCGCTGGCCAATCGGGAGCAGAGAGCTCCCACCGAGTTCCGCTCGTCATCAAAGTAGGCAATGTCCTGACCCACAATTGTTGCAAAAGCCCGTTTACGCAGGCGCGATGTCATTTTCACACCAGCTGAGGTGAACACGTAGGTCTGCAGCATGTTGCCCAATCCCGCCATCAAGCCAATCCCAACGAAGATCATAGAGATCTTAAGGACTTCGGTGCGCACTACTTCATCGTCGCCGTCCGAAAGAATTCCAAAGAAGTCGCCGAAGAAGAGACCCCAAAGTGGGAAGGTGGCTCCGTGCATCACGGAGGCGATGCTGCCCACCAGGATTAGTTTCCATTCCGGAGAGTTCAGCTTCATCAACTGGGTGAAGGACACCTTGGGCACAACCTCCTTCTCCTTCTTCTTCTTGTTGCGACGCTGCGAGCGACCTGTAAGAATAAAAGTTCAATTAGTATTAATTTATATTAAAAAAAACTTATTGTTAAGATTTCCTAAATATATATACAATATATTATATGGTTTTTATCTTAATATCTTATATAGAAAAAGATTTTTTTGCTTAGGGTAAAGCAGTTATTACTTCGAAAACTGTTAGATATATTATTATGCCAATTTAAGCTTTTATATGTTTAAATGATTACAAAGTAATTACACGAGTAAGTACTTTCTTACTACACTTAAGCCACTTCAACAATAGAAAGTATTACTTAACTAATTCCTTTCTGACAATAATTGACACATTAGAGATCAAGTACGATTTGAGTTGAGCTCAGGGTGTTATGTAACTTGGGTACGGGAAACACAGTTTAGCAGTTGTAGAATATATTTTATCTTGAAGAACACAAGTTTGCACTTTCGTTTGCACGCTTTTAAATATTATATACTTAAATAGCCAGTAGAACTAATTAAGTGAGAAATGGCGTAAACGAGTGAAAGTTGTTTCTAATCTGAAACGTATTAGTAAATATGGACGTCCATTTAAAACGGATAACTCTATCACGCATTTAAGAGCAATTAGGTTGACCTCTAATAGGATATTTGTTTCATCTGGTACTTACGCTTGCGTCGCGTGCTGGCCCTGAATCCGCTGTCCCGACTACTTCCTGAGGTCTGCAGCTCCGGCTCGCCGTCCTCCTCCTCGTCGTCCAAGTCGTCGTCATCGTCGGTCTCCTCGTCGGACAGGTTCTGCGACTTTTGCAGAGGTCGCCCGACCACCGCCCCCTCGTCCTCCTCGGTGGCCTCCTTCCGCTGGGTGATGTTCACCAGTTCGCAGTAGAGACCCTTCCGCTCCATCAGCTGCTCGTGGGTGCCCTGCTCCGCCACCACTCCGTCCTTGAGGAACACGATCTTGTCGGCATTCGTGATGGTGGACAGGCGGTGGGCCACCACCAAGGTGGTGGGTCCTTCGCTAGCCAACTCCAAGGCACTCTGCACCCGCTTCTCGGAGGTGGGATCCAGTGCAGAGGTGGCCTCATCCAGGAGCAGCACTTGGGGTTGTCTCACCAGCGCCCGGGCAATGGCAATGCGCTGCTTCTGGCCACCGGAGATCTGGGCTCCCTTCTCGCCCACCTGGGTGTCGTATCCCTTGGGTAAACGACTGATGAAGTCATGGCAATTGGCGGCACGCGCCGCCTTCTCAATGTCCGCCTGCGTGGCCGCTGGTCTTCCGTATCGGATGTTCTCGCCAATGGTGGTGGCGAAGAGAACCGGTTCCTGGCCCACCACTCCGATCTGCGATCGCAGCCAGCCGACATTCAGCGAGCGGAGATCCCGTCCGTCCAGTTTAACGCTGCCGGCTTCGGGGTCGTAGAACCGCTGCACCAGCTGGATGAGGGTGCTCTTGCCACACCCAGAAGCTCCAACGAATGCCACCGTCTGTCCCGGAAGCACATCCACGGTGAGGCCCTTGAGGATCTCCACATCGGGTCGAGCGGGATAGCGGAAGTGGATGCCCTCGAAGCGGATGTGGCCCGTGGAGCTCTCCGGTCGGATGCCCTTCTCGTCCATGGGATCCACCTTCGAGGCCCGATCGATGATGTTGAACAGGGTTTGCCCGGCTGCCGTGGCCACTGCGATGGCCTCCACATGGGGCGAGGCGAATCCGAGATTCTGGGCACCCATGATCACGGCAAACAGGACAATCACCAGCACGGCAGGAGTGTAAGTGCGATCGGCGAGATCGCGTTGGTCCAGGATTAGGGTAACGCCATACCAAATGGCCAGGGCCATGCAGAGGTAGATGATCAGCCAGGAGAGGGCGTTGCCCATTCCCGAGTAGAGACCCTTCTTGCGACCCGTCTTCTCCGCGGGAATGAGCAGCTTTGCGAACCGAGCGTTCTCCTTCTCCTGTCCACTGAATGCGAACACCGTTCGGATTCCACTGAACACCTCCTCCGCCACGTTGGCCGCATTCGAGTAGGCCTTCAGCTCCTTCTCGGCCAGGGATCCCTGGAGTCGGGCCACCACACTCGTGGCCGCGATGATGAAGGGCACACAACTCAGCACCACCAGGGTGAGCTTCCATCCGTAGAGGAAGGCGGCCACGATGCCGATCACGAAGGTCATGATCAGGAAGACCACGATCACCACTTTCTCGCCGATGCCCTCCTTCAGTTTGTCCAGATCTCTGCGGGCGGGAAAAATAAAAATAATTAAAAAAATTGTAATTTAGATAAAGTTATAAAATTAATCAATGCAAAATCATTTTATGCCAGAATTTTCGTACATAAATGGTTTTTTACAATATTTACAGAAATGAAGAGTCCACAAATTTAGTAAGAAGTAATTTTTTAAAAAATGTTGTATAAATGGACAATTCCCAAAAGAATCAATGGGTTTCTTAGTATTTTCTTTAAATTTATAGTTAAAATATTTTGGTATTTTGTAAGAGCTACCAATAAGAATATAGTTTGAATGTTTAAAGTCGGATAACCTTTTGTGTTGCTCCAAAAATATTAAGACGTATTTACTTAGTTCCCATGTAAGCAAAGATAGTTGATCTTGCCTAAATAGGCTGGGAGCTACAATTGTTTAAACAAAAAGTAGCAAAGTTAATTTAAACCATATTGATTATAATAAACTAGAATGCTAATGCAGGTTGCTAATTTTGCAGTTGTGCTTATGAATAATTAAGTGATATAACTTTAATTAGCTGTTATATAAATCAAGTTAATTGCACGAGTGGGAAACTCACTCTGTCATTTTGCTGGCGAAATTGGATCCCGAACTGGTGTCATACCAAGCGATGTCCTGTCGCAACATGGCCTCCAGGAAGACCTTTCGAATGCGATCGATTTGGTTGAGGGCTATCCTGTTGGCCAGATCGATGGCAAGTGTGATGAGGAGAAACATGGACACCGAACCCACAAGACTGCCAATTCCGAAGGCTGTGGCATCATCGATGATGGCCTGTCTGTTCTCCTCTTTGCTGGCATTTGTTCTACAGGTAATTAGAATAATTAAAAACCCATTCAGGAATCAAATGTCCTTAAAGAACTCACAATTGCTTGCCACCTCCAAACATTGGGAGTGCAAAGGTGGGCGAGGAAGTGCCCACGGCCACTGTTCGATCCACCAAAAGGGATGTGAATTCTCCATAGATGATCATAAAGTAGGGAATAAAGAAGGATGAAGCGGTGGCCACCAGTAAACTGAATACGAACACACAGCGTTCGCAAGCTGTTGAGTATCTGAACTGTAGAACAGAGATACAAACAAGGATGAAGGATATATCTTCTAAGATCACTCATTATCATTACTTACCAAATCAAGGTAGCCATACTTTCGGGTCTCATCAACTGCAGATCCTTCCCTTGACTGAAAATCACCTGCTTGAGGTAATTGCGATTCCTCCTTTTTCGTCATTGTGTTGTGTTGATATTATCTATATGGTTTCTATATCAAAAAAGCCTAAGAACAAAGTAAGCAATTAGTAAGGTAAACGCGGTTTCTATTGGTGTCTATAATCAAGAACCGTCAATTAAAAACTTAACAAAAATACCCATAAACACGCCCTGTTCTTTGAGCCGTTTTATCGGCCAAAGCAGCTATAAAAGTCAGACAACTATCTTAAATAATAATCCACTTGTTCAGAGTTCAGTGATCTAAGAGTAAAAATTCCATAACAAAAAATTACTCAAAAGTTTGCAGCAAGAAACACTTGAACCGCCTTTATAAGCATTTGCTCAATGGAATGTTCTGATTTTAATAAAGGTTTCAGCTTTCTTAAACAACCTAGAAATTTCAATTCCGCTTGCACCAAATCATCTTTAAACAATTCAAGAACAGTCTCCATAATTGCATCACTTTGCATCATTTCTTTTTTAATTAAATGGAAATGATTGTATCTAAGCATCTTTGAAATGGTTCATTAATAAACTACTACTAAACTAGTTAGTAAAGCACCACTTATCACGCCTGAGTGTGGGGTGATTAATGTATCTTTAAGTGTTACATAAAATACTGTAAAAATTATTAGAAGCGGAGCAAAGGGCTGATTAATCAGAAAAAAAAAAACAATTTTCCCAAGTCAATTTAAGGAAATTAGTTCGATTGCACGAGTGAAAAAGCGTCCATAAATTAATAAATTAGCCGCAATTGGAAAGCAAGATATTTTTTATTTACTGCGACTGTCAATTGCGAACGGCTTGCACTCGCGATCGATCCAAGGAAGTGGGTATGGAATTCTCTTTGCGATTAAATCAGATTCGCTGAAGTAAGTGAATCACGTCCTCAAACAAACTGGGTATTGTTTTCTGTGGCTCTGATTAAATTAGCTTCACTTGATGCGAGACACTTACTCAGCACGTGCTGATCTCTCGGGGAACGATCGAAAGAAAGACTGACGGTACACGCGATCGGTTAACGAATCTATATCAGAGTCTATATCACTTCTGGCCTTTTCGCACCAAGAAGTGCAAGAGACGTCTGAAGCCGACGAGTGCGCGATCTCAACTGGACAACATCAGCTCAATTGCTTGCGACGACAGCTCGGTTTCAGAATCTCGGTTCTCGGCCGCAATAAACCCGATCGCATATATAGCTGATCGGGGCTGCCCCGACAACCGCCGGTTGGCTGGTACCTACACCAATACTGGTTTCCTTGCTTTCCCTGTCCTTTTGGCCAAACACACAAAGTTTTATGGCCAGGTAGACGGCATGCAGATTAGACAGATTAGATAATACCCCATCGATTCGGCGTTACGCTCTATTCCGTCTGTTATCAGTTCTATAACCGGTATTTGTTTACACTCAGCGGCGTTTCTTTGGCTGCAGCGGAGTTTGGCTTTAAGCGGGGCAAACGAGACTCAGCGCAATCCATTTGCGTGAATGGTTTTCCCCGTTCGGAGGTCTTCAGCTGAAATCGTAAGATCGGGGGACTAACCGAGAAGAAATCTGTATCTGTATCGCGTGCGAAAGTCGTGATTCATCCCGAAGCTCAGGTGTGCCGTGAAATACCTGGACTTTAAAGCGTGGTAGCGGCACTCTCATGATTTCCAGCCCCTTCCCAAAACAAATACAATCGATCGGCTTGACACAAACAAGTAATATTTCACCATTTTCATTAAGGCGAATGATTAAGCATGGCTTTAAATAGTAGTTATGAGACCTAAGCAAAAAAAACATATTTTCTGTCATCGAGCACAAACAAACACTTCTCGCGAGGTGTTATTATTGCCTTACATCATAATGTCAATCCGAAATTTGCAATTCAGTGATAGTAAGAACCCTGACCCTAGAAAATATATAACCTTTCTAACCAGCATCACCATAAGTCTTTATTTAGACATGCCAATATCTCCGTCTGCCTGTTTCCAAGCAAATTAAACTCTAAGTTTTTAAGATATCTAATCTATCAATTATGGACGCTTAAGGGGGAAATACAATTAGAAATTTTTTTTTTCGAAAAATTTTTTTTTGGCTTAATGTACTCCAAATATATCTGGGAATAAGCATTTAAAAGAATAAAGCCGTCCGGTACTTATTTTCAGAGTTATACGCAATTTAGTGAGGGTGTGTCATATGGCGGACATGCACAAAAGTAAACTTTAAACGCTTCTCCTGAAAAGTCGTGTTTTCAAAGTCGCCGTGCAATGTACAGCTCAGAGATTTTATTTTAATCGAATGCGGTTTTTTGCATTATGTTTGAAATTAAATTCTCCACACCATGAATATAACGGTTTTTCATATTTGTTTGTTATAACATGTTTTTTTTACAATCAAAGTCAAAAAAAATCGTTTTTTTTGAAATTTTTTTTTTAACCTAAAATTTTTTAATGGAAAAATAATTTTTTTTAAATATGTTTTAATTCATGGTGTGCGCGGTACCTTTAAGTTTAAAGCCCAGTTGCTGTTTTTTGTTTAAGTCGTGATCCTGGACCTGGAGACTGCACGGCGCAAAGTCCTTCCCTAAAAACACGACTCTACATTATTGATCATAAATGGGCTTAATTACAATATTTTTCAAAAAACTTGACTGATTTTTATTGCTCAATAATTACCTAATAACATGCAAAAAGAATCACTAAGATTCATTTAATACCCTTCTTGCAATCCACTCCCAAAGATAGCTCTCATTTCAGGCCTTCTAATTGTATTTCCCCCCTTAAACATTTCCAAAATTCTTATTGCTATTGCATGAGGTGTACGTAACAGGTTCAAACGACTATATTATATGGTTTCCAAAGAAATTATAAAAAAAATAGTTTTATTTCTGAGAACATAGGCGTCGTTTTCTTGGTTAGAAGATAATTTTAAAATATAGTATTTTATAGGAGCTCTTGAACAAGAAATTACATTTAAAAATAAAAAGAAGAATACTTAATAAAATAGTAAAAGTAAGTAAGTAAATAAAGTAATATATAAATAGAAACGATCGGAAAAATACAAGAAAATTAAAAAAGTATTTGAAATTCGCCATTTCCACGTTTTGGGACCAACAACTCTTATAAATTTGTTGTATGCCACTTAAATAAGACCTTCCAAAAACTCGGGTTTGAATTGTTTATTTATTATATATTTATTATATATTATTGATGGGGAATTTTTTTTTTTTTTGTTAAGGAAAATTATTTATTTTTATTTCTAATTAATTTTTTTTTATTTGGTATTGTTATAGATACAAGGTCTCTAATTCAAATGGCAGGGAGTGTACCATTTTTTATGTATAGACGTGCTGTTATCAAACAACAAAGTAAAGTGAAGTAAAGTGTTGTTTGCAATTCAGATAGTCATATTGTAGCCAATTAAGACAAGGATTTTCTAACAGATATTTGCTTTTTGCTTATTCTGGTGAAATGGATTAAGAGGAAATCTTAAATTTTGCAGCAACTTCTCGATCTAAATATAATCAATCAGCTATTCTGCGCTTAACATTTCACCATTTTCTGTAATGCGAATTATTGGGAATTGCGGAAAATTTTCCAAAGCGTCTACTTTCCAATCTAATCTTAACTTGTAAGCACTCTTACGGCCCATAACCAAATAAAATATATGTGCCTTTATCAAACAACAAACAAGTGACGTGTTTTATGCAAGTCATTAAGTCGAATTGTGGCCAATTTAGACAAAGATTTAACAATAGATTTTTGCGAAGTGGTCTATGTTTTTGAAAATTGGCCATCTGGTGGTGAAATAAGTGTGTTGATCTTTGAATCCGGCAGTTATCGCTTGATTCGGTGACGTTATCTGTCCAAACCAAATTTGGTATTCCTAAACACCCATCATGTTTATAAACGTGAGAAATTTTCGTGCAAAGTCATATATTAACAAAAAAAAGTACTCCATTATGCAGGCACTTGAAAAGGTTTTTTTTTTTGAGTCTTTGGTTAATCAGTCTTTCTGAATCTGACTTTTGAACACTGTTCTTTTCAAACCATTAATATTTAATGCGGCCTCAATAATTCGTATCAGCAATGCTTTCGTCTGGTAGGATTTGTAGTATTTTCTTTCTTTTAAAGGTTTTCGAACTCAGAAGGTACATACTTTAAGAATTATACATTCTAAAAAAATAACAACAAATTTATTGATTAAATTTAAAATTGTAAAGCTTTGAAAATATTTGCCAAATTTTAACAAGTGTTAAAATGTTTGTATTTTGAAACTTCTAAAAAAAGTAATTTTTTGACATATTTTAAAACATATTTAAAACATAGAAATAAAGGATTCAAAACAACATTTTACAAATTTATAAAATCGAAAATATTCTGTAAAGTAGTATTTAGTACTTTTATTAAAATAATAAATATCCGTTATATTATACATATTTCGAAATCTACAAGGAATAAATAAATGATTCTTTTTGAATAGTAAACTAAAATAATTTAGTCATGAACGTGATTTTGACTTTATTAGAATCCAGACGGAATAAATAGAGAAAGTAATTTATTCCCTTTTCGTCAGTGTATTTTTAGTAAACAAATCATGACGCAGCCGCTCATATTTACTCTTACCTGCTCTCTCTCTCTCTCTTTCTCTCCCTTCTCTTTCATTTTGTGTTGACGTTGAAAAAACCAGAATCGTTTAAACGAAATCTTGTGTTGACCAATAACGGGTAGCTGTGGGAAATGCCGGTTCGTCTAATCATAAACCGCATATGGGTTCAAGGAAGTTTCAGACATACTCGTATGGATACCTCCGCTGGAAATACAGCGTTTTTAATTCCGCACATTAAGCCAACTTTTATATCCTACGTGGTACAATTTTGTTTTGACCTTAAACTCGTGTGCCCACAAATCAGTTGTTAGCCATCTACTAATTGTAATTTCTCGGTTAAAGCGGAAGAAAACTGGCCTTTGTAGTTTTGGGTAGTAGATTCGGGCTTATTCGACCAATATTTTTTTTGCTCTTACGTAGTAGTTTTAAAAGACTTTTAAAGCGCTTTTTAAAGTTGACTACTTAACTCGTTCAATTAAAAAGGGCGCCAAATGATATAATTCAAACAACATTTTGGCGATTGTAAAGGCTTCTTCAACGCAATCGATAACAAGGCAATAATACAGAATAAGTAAGTAATAATGTACTGACCTAAGTTAAGGGTTGCCAATCTCTATAAATTTTTTAATAATTTAATATAATAAATACATTTGACTACCTATTTGTAATTAAATGGTATTATTGCGTATAACACAAATATAATGTAGATTTCAAAACTTATTAATTTACTTCCTTGTTAACTGACTTCTTTTTATAACCTAAACTAGAATATATTTTTTAAGATGTAAAATGCTGTAACTTTTTAATAAGCTACTTAGGTAGTTTTAATTATCGCTTGTTACATAAGTAACATGTAGGTTTTATAACTAGTTAATGAGCTTCCCGTTTATACAAAAAATAATTAAAAGACAATTTAGTTGATTTTGCTTCCTTACCTTACTTTCTACACCTGGTGGTTTATTGTAATAAGCAAATCTTAAACGGCCATGTAAAATTAGATTGTTATGCAGATAAGCAAATTGCAAGTCCAAACCAAAACAAACAATAAAATCTAAATGCAAGTCATATATTAGTTTACTGAAGTAGACGGCAACGTAAACTAATAACTTTATGATCGGTGAACAACTTTAAAAGTGAATAAACATAATTAGTGCATATAAGCCAATGAGGTCCGTGATAATAAATATTTTTTATTTACTAAAATATGTACATTTTAGGTATTTCATTTTCTTTGGTGTTTCAGAGGTAGTGATAATAAGTTTGAAAGATATAGTATGTAGCATCTGAATAAGATATGTATAGTGCTCGTGAATGTGCAAAACAAAAGATACAACTTAAAAACATAAACAAAACCATTACATGTTGTAACATTAGATCATTAAAAAAATACTAAGGAAAAACTAATTTGTTATTAAAATAAATACGCAACATTTGACTGTATGGTTTTGTTGAGTAAGCTGCTCGTGAATTTTTTAAAAAGTGTTAATTTATATAAATATAATATATTTTCGGTTGTTTTTAGTAAACCAATCGGATGGCCTGCTGTCCGTGGAAAATATCGCTCCTGACCAGAACTTCGTAGCTGCTCAGACGGATTTCTTGACCGCCAAAAGGAATCTGCAGGCATCGATTGTATGGCTCAATCACACCGGGCGTCAGGCTTCCACAGTACTGTCCCCTTCCGATGTAGAGAGGTTCTCCACTTGGTGTTCTGCCGGCCACAACAGCTCCTGGCGGAACATTTCCTCCGTAGGAGGGTACCCAGTGGTATTTGCCCTGGCCCACCAACATCTGGTACGAGGGCTCCACGATCTCACGCCCTCCATGAGCTATATATGCACATCCTCGGCTGGGAACCGCCTTTCCGGGAACATGGACACCACGATACCAGGCTCGGCACACCAGCAGCTGCTCCATGTTGCTGTCGTGACCTCCAACCACAGCATCGGGTGAGTAATAGTATCCTGGTTCGGCGGATACCCAAACGTCGTAGTTATTTCCATATCCGTAGGCATCGTAACCGGGAGCACATTCCGCCGGAGTGTAGGAGGAGGAGCATCCCGCCTCGTAGGGATTGTAGGTGCCAGCGGGAGTGAAGGTTGGTCCTACGGGTACGGATACTGCGGTGACCTCAGCGGCAACGAATGAGGGAGCTGGCGAAGCGGAGACCTCTGCGGGGGTGAAAGATGGCTGTGGTGGAGGAGGTGGTGGTGGCATGACCAGTACTCCTCCCGCAGGCGGTGGCTGTGGGGGGCGTGGCATGACCATTACTCCCCCACCGGAGGCAGTGGATCCGGCGTGGGCGTGTAAGCCGGTGGTCTGTCCGTCAGGGGAAAAGGCATAGCTGCCAAATCCGGATAGGGATATGGTTTGGCCGGCAAGGGAGGAGCAATTGCCGGCGGAGAAGGTGGTGGTGGCGGGGTGAGCGGGCACTTTTCCGCCAGTTCCAGTGGAGGAGGAGGTGGGGGCAGTTGCCAACCCGGAACCACTCGACGCTCCTCCACCAGAATCTCATAGGAATCCAAACGACGTTCGGCTCCACGATAAGCGATGAAAAGAGCTCGGTGAACGGAGGATATCTTGCCAATGATCAGATGACCCTCATAATGGCCACGTCCTATGTAAACCGGTTGATCCAGGGAAGTTCTTCCACATAGAACCGCATTTTCGGGAATCACATGATCGTAGCACTTGATCCACACCAGATTCTGACCACACAGCACCTCGAAGATGTCCTTGGGCAGCGCTTCTCCTCGCTGGGAAATGAATCCGAGTTGCTTGCTGGGAACCACCTTGCACACCAGCATGTCGCCGTCGTGTTCCGCCCGTCCCACGTAAATCATGGCGCCGTCCTCATCGTTGCCGCCCACCACCGCCTCCTCCGGAATCGATGAGTAGGCCGAGGATTGCACCCACTTGTAGGCTGAAAGATATAAAGGGATTAGTTAGTGAGCAAACAAAAAGAACTAACTAAAGAAATAAAATAAATATTTTTTAATCCAAAATGTATAAAAATCAAAAAAAAGAAATGATAAACCTTCTTACTTAAAAATTGGGCTTTATTGTAAACTTTTTAAAAGCAAACGAAAAAAATTAAAAATGTAACAATGTCGAAGAGTCTTTTCTTCTTGAAGTTTGTTAAACATTTGAAATGAGAACAACAAAAATTGTATTTTAATATAAATTATATGCATAGTTAAGAATTGTGAATTAAAATTTTTTGTTTGTCTCTGTCGGTTTCTTGTTATCTAATAAAAATATTTTATATTATGAAGGGTATTATACAAATTCAAGGAAGTGATCTTTATTTCAAAATTTCCTATCTAAATTCATAAATTGTCTTTAAGCCTTGTGATCCAACCAGCAATTAAGTAATTTATTAAGTGCTATTTTACCAAAGGCAATACCTTGACTTAGAGATTATTATGTTTACGATTCAGTTGGTAAACAAATAGTTGGTGAAGTTCAATTGGTAAGACTACCAAAAAGGAAAATAGATTTCTTGGGTGTTAACAGTCAGTTTATTGGTTGCGATTACAGTTTGATCAGGGCTAAATGCTTAAGTGGTATTTATTAGTATTCCGCGGACCTATTGCCTGCAGAGGACCTCGTAGGAGTTGATGCGGATCTCCCGACCTCCGTACGGGATGAAGAGGCATCGCTGGCTGGCCGAGATCAGGCCCGGAGTCAGGCTTCCCTGGTAGTGACCTCGTCCGTAGTACAGTGGCTCTCCGTTTCGAGCACGTCCGGTGGTCACAGCATTCGGAGGAATGTGGTGTCCAGCCTGGACCCACACGTATCCGCATCCGGTGAGCACCTCGTAGGTGTGCTTCTGGAACTCGTATCCCCCGAAGCAAACGTAGGCCGTGCCCTTGCTCGGAACCACTTTGGCCGGGAGCATCTCACCCTCGTGCATCGCCCGTCCGGCGTAGATGGGCGTCCGATCGGAATCGTGGCCAGCGATCACGGCACCCGGAGGCGTGTAACTGGGCGAGGCACCCACCCACATGTCGTGCGCCTGCTTGATGAGCACCTCGTAGGTGTTGATGCGCACCTCCTGTCCACCGAAGGGAATGTACAGACAGCCGTGTGATGGATGCACCTTGCCCACAGTCAGGCTACCCGCATGATGACCGCGTCCCACGTAGAGGGGTTCACCCGTACGCGTCGTCCCGCTGCGCACCGCATTGGGGGGCACTCCGCCACTGGCACTGGGCACCCAGGCGAATCCCTGACCCACCAGCACCTCGTAGTGGGTCTTCTGGTGCTCCGCACCGCCGTAGGCCACGTAGGCGCAGCCCTTGCTCGGAATGACCTTCGCCGGGAGGTTCTCGCCCTCGTGGAAGGATCGACCCACGTAGATGGGCGTGCGGTCCGAGTCGTGGCCACCGATCACCGCGTAAGGGGGCAGGGGGGCGTAGGGGGACGAGTGCACCCAGGTGTTTTCTGCAAGGAGAGAGGGGGTAAGGCGATAAGCTTGGCACCACGCGATAAGATAGCCTATCCGTACACAGAGAGAAAGCTAACAGCATAAGCGAAAAATAAATAATTCTTTTTCATTCCACAATTATTCAAGTTATATTGGTAAATAATAGTTTCTATTTCAAAAAAGTTTATTTTTTAATTAAAAAAGTTTTAATTAGGTATCTATAGATCTTATCAAGCTTACGAAGTTGTTGTAGTATTCAAAAAGATTTCCAAAGAACTTCTTTTCGTATTAAATTAATTACGGGCTTCTACAAGTAGAATTTACTTGAATTATTCCAAAATTATTTTGTATTATATGAATATTCAGTACTGTATTTCAGCTTTATATTTGCTGTCATCAAATAAAAATTGCAAATAAGACTTTAGACAGAACTTATTTAATAAAGATAAAATTACCAGATAAACTTGGAATGATTCACTCGAACTCATACTGTTCTAGATTTTTCTCTGTGTATGTGTTTCGCTTGCTGTTCGATTGTGGGGTTGGGTGGTCTGGGACGGGGATCAAGTGGGATTTGGGGCTTTCACAGAGGCGTGGGGGTTTCACCCTGGGCTCACTGCACTCGTCCTACCAACGGTCACAACTGCTCCTGGCTGCACGGCGCCTGGAAGAGTGCAAAGAAAGGCGGAGAACCATGGGCGTCACTCAATGCACTTTTCAAGGGGGCTTAGTTCGTAACTGCGCACAGAGAAAAAATATCAAAGCCACCGGAATCGGTGAGCAGTTGGGTATTTTGTCACCCGTAAATAGGGTTTTATCTGCGACACAGTCATGCAATATTGTGAAAAATCACAATTTTATTAAGAAAACCATTATAGTATGGTCAAAGTACTCCAAAGTTATAAAGAGATTGATCTAGTAACTTAAAATGCTTTAGGATCACTCAAACTTTTCCGATTAGCTCTCAAATTAATATTTTTAAAAGGTGGTTTTTCGATTTTGTAGATTTTTTTGCAACTCTTGGCGCTTAGTCAGTTACTTACCCATTGTGTGTAATTTGATGATAAGGGGTTATTCCTCCTGATATCTTATATATGCAATCGCTTTTACTCCTTCTATATGTCCGAACAGCGTCTGAACAGACTGAGGTTTGCTTTTTTACTAAAACGTTGGTCTGGAATCGGCTGACGTTTAAAAACAGAACCCGACCGATTTGTCACTACCCCTTATCAGCGAGCTTTTATCTATCAATTGGAATGGCAAAACAAGTGCAATTGATATTGGAGCCCTCGATATCTCTGTTTTTCACTTCCAGTCCAGAAAGCTCAATGGAAAGCATTCGGTTTATCGATCGAGAATGAGTCATTATCCCTAAACAGACGGTACTTTTCGAAAAAAAAAGCGAAACCTGTGGACATTGTTACACTTCTTGTTTTTGTTGGCACTTGACAGGTGGCACCCAAAAGTTAATGAGCTCATAAACAATATGACGCCTTCCAGAAAAAATCCCCCCGCAGAAGTGTCGATAAGGCCAACCCGAAAATATCAATACGTAATTATATCAGCTAAAATATTTATGATGAAAGGATTCCCGTTCAAGGATAATTGATGGTTAAATAAATACTCAGATAAAACTATATTTAAACAAATTAACGCACAATAAATAAGAGTTGTCATGAATTTGCCAAATTATTTTCTTTTTTAAAATAACTATACCTAAAAAATGTTCTGTGTACAACACACATTAACGTATAATTTTTTTGGAGTAAATTTAAATGATTTTCCATTGATTTTTTTAATTATTTGTGAGGTTAAAGACATAGTAATTGTAATTGTAATAAGATTCTTATTGATGTAAGATATCAGTTACAACCTATTTATAAACCTGACTCAACTTTGCGCTTAATACAGTAAAATCCATACAGTTCTTTCACAATTGCCTCATTTACCAATCGAAAGGAAAATAATCATTCTTTTCACAACAGATACAACAATTAAACATTGTTTTACTTATGGTCTCCTTTTCAAAACCAATGCCACCTCATAATCCACATATGTACAATACCTTTTCACTTAGTGGGTCTTATTTTTGTTCTAGAAGTAAATTCCTCACCTTTGAAGTTGATCCATGGACAGCAACATACTCAAGCATATACATACTTTTTACGAACTTATTGATCAAGTTTATTTTTGACTGCAGGCGATAAGATTCGTAGGCAACTGCTTATAGATAAAACCGGCAGGGAGTACACAAAAAACACCAAAATATTTATAAGATCGATTGAGTAATTGTCGTTCCCCTTCCTGTTCAATAGCGTGGAAATTTAAATTGTTTCGGCCAAACTGACACACCTGTCAGTTGGTCGGAGTGACGAACCCGGCGAAAAGATACGAGGAACCCTTTGTAAAACACACCTACATACACACACACACACATATACTTATAGTCCAAGCCAGTGTGACTAAGATATCTTATCACAGTCGGTTAACATCGCCGGCCGATAAGGCGACACATCAGCTTTTAAAACGCACCCGTTGTGCAGTTGGAGACCAGTCGTTAAAGTCAGCCCGATCAGAGCGGAGCCAGCGAGTATATATCACACCGTTCCGGACCCAAATCAACACAAAAAACACACATCAAACATGGGAGGTGAGAAAAAAAATAAAACAAGTGAAAAATAGTGTGTGACTAGGAGTATTTACCTGGAATCGCTGTGTTCCATAATTAAACAAGTGCCATCGATACTCAGGCTCACCTGACAGTTCAAATCCCCCGGAGCTTTGGAAGCTTTCCATAGATCCGGCGATATTTCACCCCAACTGATAAGAAAATAGACAGAGTGGGGCTGCGATTAGGAAAGGGTACAGTTGGGCCGCGAAGTGTTAACTTATCGCCTTTCGACCTTGTTCCAAATACTCCACAGACTACACCTGGATTAGCGCCAATGTCTACGGACCCCTGCCGCCCGGAGCCATCCTTGCTGGCCACGATTCCGACCAGGATCCCATCTACGTGGGCCGTGCCTACCACAATGGCGAAATGCTGCCGGCGAAGATCGTCCCCGGTAAACAGCAGGCCTACGTTCCCTTCGGCGGCGAGGAGATCAGCAAACATGACGTGGAGGTCCTCGTCGGTGATCACTTCTCGTGGGTCTCCGCCAGCGGCGGCTTCGTTCCGCCCCACGCCATCCGAGTGGGTCAAACTGGAGACGGGGAGCCCCTCTACGTGGGCCGCGGCTACTTCCAGGGAAGCCTCACTCCCGGCAAGGTGCACCCCTCGCACCAGTGCCTCTACATCCCTTACGGCGGAAGGGAGGTGGGTACACCGCTTTAATCTTATTTACCATTTTCTATTTTTTTTTTCACAAATACCACTCAATTATGGAAGGCATTACAACGACGACAAGTCGATTTTACCCCTTATTTTAACAATTTAAGTTTACATTTTAGTAAGCTTTAGTGATTAAACTTCTACCTCTTTTACCTTTTTATTTATCAGCTGCCAAATATTATTTTTTTTAAAGAAAAACAAAATCCCACAAAACTTTAAATAACAGGAACGCAAATTATTTCATTTTTTTCACTTTTAAAAAAATTTAGAAATTCTTAAAGATTTATTTATTTAGATAATTTACTTTATGTTTACTCATCTCTTTTATTTACTCACATTTCACTTTTCTTTCTTTTACTGAGCATTTGTTTTTTTTTTATAATCAGACAAATTCTGCTGACATTTTTAAATTCTGCTTACATTTTTCTATTTTAAGTGTAGACAATTATCTTACTACTTGTCTTGGTTTTGCTTATCAGGACTAATTCACAGAAATATTGATTACTTTCTGATCCAAATCATTTCGATGAATAATACAGTACATATAGTTGATTAAAGATAAAACCATTAAAACCATTAACTAACCATTTTCCATTCTGTTTTTAGCACCGTCTGGAGGCCTATGAAGTGCTCGTCCAGCCGGAAACGTGGATCGCCTCTCACGGACGCGGAATTGTGCCCGGAACAGTGATTGGTGGCCACGATGCCGATGGCGATCAGATCTATGTGGGTCGCGCCTACCACGAAGGCGATTTGCTGCCAGCCAAGGTAAGGAATTAAACCAAATAAAATCTTTCCTCTTTTGTAAGAAAAGCGAACTTTAAGCTCCCCAGTTAAAGTCCTGCCAAGTAAGGGAACGTAATTAAATGTCCGCTTTTAATCTGCAGGTAATCCCGAACAAGGGCTGTGCCTATGTGCCCTACGGAGGCGGGGAGGTGGTCAAGCACGACTACGAGCTGCTGGCCGGATACGGATACGGATGGGTGCACGACAGCCACGGCAACGTGCCCGGCAACGCCGTCCTCTGCGGTCGCACCTCCGAGGGGGAGCCCCTGTTCATCGGCCGTGCCCACCACCACGGAAGTTTGACCCCCGGCAAGATCCACCAGTCGCACCACTGCCTCTACATCCCGTTCGGCGGCGAGGAGGTGCGTCTAGACCACTACGAGGTCCTGGTCAAGGGATAGGTTATTCCGTTCTCCGATGTCAACTCCCCCGTTTCGTCTGCCTGCTAATTTATAACTCATCTTGCTTCATTAAAAATGTCTATCCACTAATCGGCGTTTGTTCTTTACTTTGCTTCGGAATATAATTACGAGTGCTTTTGGGGGAACTTACTATATATTGGCTCTTGAGGAGTTGCTATTCAAAGATAGCAACTGATTCATGGAAATTTTCGAAGAGCTAACTAGTGGAAAAGCAAGAAAATAAGAACATTTTCTATTAACTTTTCAATTGTGCCAAAGAAAGCGTTGTCTGATTTGTACAAAACTTAAATCTTTAGAAATTGTTATTTCAAAATATATTTCACTTATGATATTTCTTATCAAATTATTTATTTTGTTATTTGTTTGTTTTGTTATATAATAATATAAATAAAAATCTTATATAATGCTCTATATTCAGCTAAACAAGAGGGTAAATGGCATTGCTGGCGATGCCGCAGTGGTTATTTGCATTTCGCCGCATTTTGAAATATCCCTCCAATCCCCAATCGGTTCCCCAGGAGTTCTTAACCAGCCAGAAGTCGTGGCCAAGTTCATCAGTCCCGAACCCAACGATCAATGCAGCATGGTTGTGCTTATTTTGAGTGCAAGCGGGATCGTAATAAGTTCCCGTTGAGTATAAATGAAAGGATTTCTGCGAGGAATCAAGGGTCGCGTATACAGGTCCAAAAAAGGCAACAGCCTCCGCCAGTTTCTGCTCGTCTCCATTTGGTATTTCCACGAATCCACTGCTTGTGGCCCCTAACGTAGAGCTGTTAAACTGACAATTGCCGTCGACTCCTTTATAAGGATATGACTCCTCAGTAGATATTCCTCCACTGTCCTGCAAGTAGGACATAGCTTTTTCCATCGTACCGCCATTGCATCCATCGTTTCCATAGCTTACAGAGCAATCTATCAGCTGTTGTTCGGATAACGGGATTAGCTTTCCAGTCTTCCAAAAGTTTTGACTTTCCAGGGCTGCTGTGGTGGCAAAGGCCCAGCAACTGGAACACGTGTAGCCCTGGTGTTTCACCGGGGTCACTGCTCCAGCCGATCTCCAGTCCACCGATTTGGGCAAGGTCGAGTATGCCGGCGAGATAAAGGTTGACCCACTAGAAACCAGGGATTAATTATTAAATTTCGATCAATAAGCAACATAATAGTATAGATTTCTTCTTATCAAAATTATTTTTATTCTTTTGCGGCCGTTAAAAAAAGCACGAACTATGTTGGTAAGCCTCTAATTTCAAAAATCCTGCATGAATAAATTGTTTATTAAGAAATTTCGTTTTTAAACATAAACCTCGCTTACCGAATCTGCTTTTTCTGGTTGTAGTTAAAATCCATCGTTATCTGTTTGAGCTCAGTGTTCAATAAATCGGTAAACTGGTTTACAGCCAGCTTGAAGGTCTCCATACCTTTCTCAAATCGCTGATTGTGTTTATCAATGAGCATCCTATTCTCCTGAAACAATTTCAAGCGCATGCTTTCCTCAGTTGGGTCCTCGTATTTCTTTCCATGCTGCACCTTATAATCTTTCCATTCTTTATGAAGAACTGGGTCAAGAGATCCGGGTTCTACAAGCAATGCCAGTATAGTAAACAAAAAGAACTGCCTCATGTTGATTGGAGGATCGAGACCTTGTCCTTTCTTCAATTACTTCAATATGCCACTAGGTCACTCCAGGCCACTCTTATAAACGTTCCAATGACTAATTAAAGTAATTCACATATTTCAGCTCTTTTTATACCAGTAAGATTAATGTAAACTTCCATAATTCCATTTAATAATATTAATCAATGTAACAACAATACGCATTCCCGATGCTGTTCAAAGTACAAAGATGACGTATGTTTTAGATTCATTAAAACACGCTGTTTGACATTGAGTTTTAAAATAGAATTGTAAAGAAATATCACACTAAGCTTAAGAGAAGAGATTACATATTTTTTATAACATATATTTAGTTAATATTTATTCATAGATTAAGAAAGTTAAAGAAACTAACAATTAAATCGTAACTAAAAACACACAATAATAAAACATATTAAACAAATGCTTCACAAACTCATGTATGTATGTTAAAAAGGTGTAAAATTCGCGTTCTATATTTACATAGTATGTATATGTAATTTTTATGCAATAATTACATTTATGTAATTTTACATTAAGAGTGGCATCTCACACATATCACAATTGTTGCACGCATATGGTAAACTAAATTAAACATCATAATTAACAGAAAAACACACAATTGGCTTAGTTTCCAATGGTTTTATTTATACGGAATAGATATGACATACAGACTTTTGATTCAAAAATTAAGAGTTTTTTTTATGGACTATTAAATGTATTAATAATAAATTAAATGTATTAATATAAATATGGTGCGTAGTAAGCTTTGGTGGCGATGCCGCACAGGTTTCCCGCGTTGCGCAGCATCTTCATATAGCCCCCCATTCCCCACTTGGTGCCCCAAGAGTTCTTTATGAGCCAGAAGTCCCTTCCGGACGGATCGGTTCCGTATCCAATGACTACTACAGCGTGTGTTAACTTTCTTCCTTCGCAAGCGGGATCCTCATAAATTCCCGAGGAGTACGACTTGAAGGATCTGGGTGAGGCGTCCAGGGATACGGCGACGGGTCCATGGTTGGCCACAGCTCTGGCCAGCATTCTTTCGTCGCCGTAGGTCACTTTCTGGAATCCAGGTCCCAAAATCGTAACCCTGGATCTCCGGTGGCAATAACCATCCTTGGCCTTGTAAGGATACTTTTGCTCGGAGGGAACGCCGCCCTTTTTGATTACGTATTTCAGGGATCTTTTCGGCGTTCCACCATCGCATCCATGGTTCCCATGGCTAAACGTACAGTCAATCAAACTTTGCTCGGAAAGAGCGATTAGGTTGCCAGTCTGTCGGAACTGCAGACTTTCCAAGGCTCCAATGGCGGCAAAAGCCCAGCAACTTTTGCATCGACCCTGATTCTTGACCGGCGTCACTGCGCCCCAGTAACGCCAATCTATTGCCCTGGGAATCGGCCAGTAATTCGTTATATCCCTAGAATAAATGATATCACTTTGAGAACAGTTACAGCAAAAGATTTAGATAGAAAAACCTCATAGTATCTTTAAATATCTTCAATCTTTCTGTTAAATTCTTTGAAAATTTCCTTACCGCTTCTCTCGGTGATTTGTGTTATTGTAATCATTATCAAACTCATAGTCAAAGTCACTAGATAACATATGATCCTGGTAAAACTCTTCGTCTTTCAAATCGGTGAACTGGTTTATCGACATATTGAAGGTCTCTTCACCTTCTTTGAATCGCTGGTTGTGAAGATCGATCTGTATCTTGTTCTCCTGGAAGATCTGCTGGCGGTAAAGATCCTCCGTTGCATTCTGGTAGGTTTTGTTGTATTCCAATTTGAAGTGTTCCCATTCCTCAGGAGAAACTGGATCAAAGGGCACCAAAAAAGCCAGTGACAAGCTGTTGAAAAAGGCGAGTAAAAAAAGTCTGCTCATTTATGAAACCGAACTGGTGTTTGCTGAGCCGAAGACTTTAGAATGGTTAATACCAATGATCCATAACAATCCATGGCTTTTATAGCAATAAGAAAAGAAAATGTGTCAGCTAAGTAATAATTATGTTTTATTTATAAATCTCGTCATAATACAGGGAACCGCTTTTATGTAAATAATTTACAACCATTGACTGCTATACAAGGCTAAAAATAGACAAGGAACTTAATTCATTCCAGATGAATTATTGTTTTGATTTGCGAGGGGAATATATGCACTCTTGGTTAATGGGATGAACTAGAAAATTGTAATTGGGAATCCAGGCTGCGATAGCAGCTGTAATGTCTAGATTATCCAGGAAACAACTAATTTTTTAATAACTTCATGATTTGATTCTTGATTCTATTATTTTATACCTTATCGATCTGTCTAAAACAACTGAGCAAAGTGGGTGGGTTTTGTAAGGTTCGTAAAGAAAAGGGTGTTTATACAGAAATTTGTAACCCCCGAGTTATGCTTCGTTTTGAGAAGCTTTCTGAAGCTTTCAGTGCATGTTGTACACGAGATGTAGTTGTCATGTAGAATGTAGACTATAATTTTTCGACCGCGCAGCAGATATAGCTTACTGTTTAAAAAAAAAAAACTAAAATATTCTGAGTTTTGAGAAAAATGTTCGGTTAAACGTTGAAAAGAAGTGAACTGCGCTTTGAAAACCCACAAGCTGTGAATAAAATTTAACTTAGGAACTTACGAGATCTTGACACGTAAAAGGAGCAAAAGCAAAAGGAAATACTGTAGAATCCGGTTATAGTGACTTTAAGAGGAATCATTTCAGACTTTTTACCTCACTTCAACTATACCGTCCAAGGTGTTATTAATTTATCCCAATAATGGCAAATTGAGTTGTATAAAGGCAGTTTAAAAAAATGTTCCTATATTTTTCTATATTTCCTAGTGTTGATGATAAAATTGATTTGATAAGATATTCTGACCACCGAGACTTCAAAGCCGTCTAGATACGGATCCATGTTCGTCCAGTTCTTTATTTTTAACCAGCGGGAATCCCATGGTTTTGGATTTAAGCGTAGGAATGTAGGAATAAGGAGGTGTGCTAGGCTTTCTTTATTTGTGCAAATGATGCATGGCTTCGATTCTTAAATAATTAATTATAACAATGCCCAGAAAACACGAAAATCAATATCAACTGAAACAAAATTATAAATCAAAAGTTTTTAAAGAAAACACTCCAGAGGAAAATTTTTCAACCGCACACACTCTTATTTTCTCGCTCTTGCAAATACTCTCTCTTTCTCTCTCTCTCACTCTCACTCTCCTCTTCTCCGTCGTAGTCACGCTCGTTCTCGCTGCTTGATTGCCATTGGTCGACTGTATTGCTCGTCGGCAGCTTCGTATTTTTATTGGCTGACTGAAATGCGAGCCGCTCCCTGACCTCGAATTCAATTGGCCTTCTGTGGCAAGAGACTTGGCCTGTGGACGTGGCCAACTCATCTGGCAAATGGCCAAGAAGAGGCGGTCTTTATTTTACTATATTTCTTGCTTCGCATTACTTTAGAAACTACGAAAAATGAAATAATAGATATGTGTCATGTTTAGAAATAAAATAAAGCATCTTTTTGTTATAAATAATATCAACAAAAATGTTTAAAAGGTCGCAGCACTCTAAACAGGTTATTGAGGTCCGCTCACTTGTGGTTTAAAAATGCCGTCGCTTTACCTGCTCCAAGTGTACCGGAATTCAATAATATCTTGTGAAGTCAATAAAGACTAATTTAAAAATTATTTTTATATTAAATTATGGATATTTTTTAAATTTTAAGTTGAAAAATAATTTATTTTAAACGGACAAAAAATACAGGTATTTTTTTTATAATTATTTAATCATAAATATTAGGGTTTTTATGGGTAAAAATAAAAATAAAATTTTCTCAAACGAGGTTATTATTTTTTTTTTTTACATTTACATTAAACACCTGGTATTATTAATAACATATGCATATGTATGTATGTAAATACACCTCGGCCAATTCCCTCACTTTGTTTATGTATATTTTTATTACTGTTAGTTTGTATGACTTGTAAACATTTAAAATAGTTCAGTTCGGGCTTAATACAGGCACAGGAACTTAGCATTCTACAGTTTAGTGTTGAGTTACTGAGACCTTTGAACTGTAAGTTTCTGCGCTCCAGAGTCTTAGCAAATCAAAAGTTTGTACTATAGTTTAAAAATATTTTCTAACTACTCAAACGGTCGTTTTTGCGTTTTTCAGGTATCTCACAATAACACTAAAAACGTACCTTTAATGATAATAATAATAATTATGATAATAGCCGCATAGAAATAAATTAAAAAGAAAATATTTTTCAAGCCTTACAAAGAAAAATAACAAATTTTTGAGTTTTTTTTTATTTTAAAACTTTTTTGGCTTTCACAGAGTGCAATAAACGCAGCCAGGTTTTTAAATTACATGGTAGATAACTTGTAATCCAACATGATTATTTTTACCTGACAGCGACTTTACCCCTTCTCATCCAACTCGTTTTATTTGAATACAAGTCACCCCAAAGCCTACGCACCAGCTTTCTCACTCACTGTCAGATTCAGGCTTCGCAAACGGCAGAGTCATAATTTTAAAGCCATACGTGGAGTACGGGATATATGACGACCCACCCCCGGAGCATAACCCTCGGCCAATATAAATTCTTGTAATTTAATTTTGCTATTGCAAAGGAAGTGCACACACACTCGCAATCCGGACATCCAGCAGCACCACGTGAAGTCTCGTGGAGATATTAAAAGGCAACTCTGATGCTATCGGAGACCACATCCCATCGAAGCCCAGCTTCCTTTGGGCCTGGCTGCTTTTTTACCGCCAACCCTCGGAATAACTGTGAAAATGCTCGACATTCCAAAAGCCAAGCAACAATAACAAACGGGGACGACTATCAGTTTCTGCAGACGAGAGGAATGACAAAATTTCGCCTCTGGGCTGTCACTGTATCTCGGCCGCTCTATGTGCGTCCGTATCTGTACCGCCGCATCTGTATCTTTTTTCGGAGGGCAACTCGGTTAGCTGGCAACGAATGAAGCCGCTCTGGAGATGGGCGCTCAACCGGCACATAGGTTTTCATATGCCCACGAGTACATAGGGAAAAAGTCCTATGTACAACAAAGGCGATACAATTAGTTGAAAAGCCCAAGTGCGATTCGATGTTCGTATATCTCTGTCCTGTTTGAAAGGGAGGGTTGCTCTGCCGGCGTCGCTGCGAGGACTACGATATTCTGGGTTTTTGTTTTTGTTTTGCTTGTTTCTTTGGGCCGATGGTACGGGTCTTCATCCTGCTTTGTGCGAACGACAGGCCAAAACGTAGCACTGAAAAATGTACATAAAATGGAAATGAGAGGCTTTGTTAAACGTTCAGTGATGGGCGTTTCGGTATATAAATCGACACCGAAACCGAAAACCTTTCTCGAATTTAAAACCCCGGCCCTCGACGCCTACGTCAACGTCAGCAGCGACGCTAGCGCAGGCAGCGAATTAAGCTGTACACACGAACAAATTTTGATGCTGCCGCGAAACTATTTAAAAATTTTCTGAAGGAAGAAGACTCAACAATTGCATTTAATGTAATATCAACCCCAACACAACTTGGAGAAAGGGTTAAAATATATTAATGGTTTTTAATTATGTATCTTGAAATAACAGCCCTTAAAATCATGAAATTATAATTTTCTGACTGACATGAAATATACACAGATGTTATGACTTAATTTTCTTTGGTGTAAATGTTAACTAGACTTAAAAAACGTATATGTACATTAAACATTAAATACTTAGTGTCCCTATTTGTAGCTGTGTAGCTGCAAAGCGAAGATTTGACAGCGCTTCTTCTAATTAGTTTTTGACGTCTAAAAATAGGTTTTTTAAGAACGAAGGGGAAGCGGGTGCAAGTGAGGGTTAGAGTGATATAGTACATATTTCTCATCTGCTGCGTGATAATTCAATTAGGAATGTGTGAATCAGCAGCAACAACAAACAGTGCTGCAGCAGCGTTGCAGCGGAAGTGCAGGCGAAAGAGGGAGAGTGAAAAGGAGAAGGAGAAGGAGGAAGAGAAAAAGAAAGGGAGAGGGAGAGAGGAAAATGTGCCTTTCGTCGATAGAAAAGTCGGAGTAAAGAGAGAGAAAGAGTGGGGAGAAGGAAAGGAAAACCATCCATGTCCATGTCCATTCCATGTTGCATGCAACCCTGTTCGGTTTTTTTTCCAACGTGGATGTGGCAGGAACAGAAAGTTGTTGGTGCCTTTGCTGCTCTGCCTTTGCCACGGCAACAATTTATGTGCATGTATTCGTGCTGGTACATAAAAATAGCGGTCGAGGCAGCCACGACGCCAGCAGAGCAAAAGCAGCGGCAAGCAGAGGCAGAGAGGCAGACGCAAATGCTCTTTGGGGGAGGGGGGCGCTGCAGAGTGGAACGCAAAGAGGTAGCGGAGGCGGGGGCAACGGGGGTCGGAGGTACTATGTGCGCAGCTTGTGCGCCTCGAAAATACATATTTCAGCATGAAGCATGGGCATGGGACACTGAGTGCTGGCAGAGGCGCAGCGCAGAGGGGTTACTTCTAGAGAGTTCGGTGTGAAAGTGGGAGAGGGTAGTAATACTGAACTTTCTAAAGTATCTCACTCTTAAAAGAACTAATTGCAAGATAGCTAAAAAATTTTACAAAATGCTACACAATGAAAAAATTAAACAAGTATATTTGGTTGTTTTTTAAAAGACAATAAAAACACTTTTTATTGATAAAAATTTCAGAAATTAAATAAAAAAACTTTTTTTAAAATTGTGAAATATACTTTTACTAATGTTATTTAAAAATTAATAACCAAAAATGTTTTCCAAAATTATTTATTTAGCGACCCAGTTACCACTGCTATCTTCCTCAATAGCAACCCCTAAACCTCAAAACCCCCCGACCCAGCGCCTCTGGCCGAGTATCTTGTATCTTGCAGTTTGCTGTGCATACACAGAGGCACATGCGACTTTGTATGTACAA